GAAACAAAACCCATTCAAGGTATACCACCTCGTCACGATTTATAGCCCTCGTAGGTAGTCATTGGTCGCGCATACCGGTGTCAGTCGTCACCGGTACCCCACGCGGAGCGGCGTGCTGTCCTCGGACGCCTGGCCTGCGAGAGGCGAGGGCGCCTGCAGACCTGCAGATTACCATGGGCCTCAGGTGATCTCGGATAGCGCACAGCTGCGCTGGCAACACGTGCTGCCGTAACCGCACCCTGCTGCCCTACCCGACCGACCGGCGAGACAAACAGACACGCGAACAGAGACAGACAGGCGTCGGATCGTTACCAAACAGATGCCTGCAGTCGAACCTGATAACGGCTCTGTGGAGACTGCAGAGACGGCGCCCCCGTTTCATTAGTTCAATCATAAAGCCGGGTAAGCCGAGTTAAGTGCGGCCATAACGCCGACCGGGTGCCGCGTGGCGAATTGACGGACGGCTGGGCGGCACGGGGCGGCCGCCTGGTGCTGGTAACACGGATGACGCAGCCCCCACAGACCCGGCAGCCCGCCGCCAGGTCACCTGGCTCTGTTGTGGCTGAGGTCATAGGTCAGCGTGCAGCGATTGTTACATCATATGAGGTGATGAAGTGGAGAGTTTTACGCCGTTCACGCCATCGGATGAAACCGTGCGTTTTTTTTCGTTTTTTTTTTTTTGGCGGGGGAGGGGGCATGGGTCTTGACTAGTGCTAAAAGTCGCAAAATGTACAAAAAAAGTTCGACAGATCGTTCCAAATTCCAAAAACTTTTGGTTGAATCTGGAAGCAAGTGAATCTTTGTGTTTTATTCTATTCATGGCCGAAAATTCATTAAATGAAATTGTCGATTTGGAACTGAGATCTAAGCACCAAATTCTTTATTATTGTCAGCACAATAATTACCTAGGTTCCTCCCATCTGATTAAATGTTATTTGAATGCGTATCACCTGTGACATGGACTCCACATATGCACTGAACACAGGGTTGATTGTTGCTATGTATATTGCCGTTTGTTTCGCCGCTCTCAACGGTTCTCTCGAACGCATTCGGAGGGCGGAACAGATCTGCCATCTACAGAGGACTGCTCGCAGCTCGAGCCACGGCTAAGTCGCACTCCCCATTAGCCGTTTACTGCCGGGGGCAGCCCGCTCACCGAAGGCGGCCTGGGGAACACTTCCCCCGGCCATTTACCGTCTGAAGCGGCGTCAAATGGAGATTGGAGGTGGATGGATGGGGCGCGGCCCGTGGCCGGTCGCACGGGGGCGGACCGGCCGGCCGATTTACCGACGTGCCCCGGCCGCTCAGAGGGCGCAGCTATAACCGGGAGACGCGCCGGCGGATTTCTCGGAATGACTAGTGAGACGGGCCGTGACAGTATCGGAATCATTCGCTTATGAAACGAGTCATGATGGCGCGCTGCAGGGATTTCAACTGGACTTTATGTACCGGTGCAGCGCAGTTCTAGAATATAGGAGACTCGGGCCCCGTGATATACGCTGATGCTTTCAATTTGGTGTGGCCATGTCTCAGGTGACCGGATAACTCGTCATTCCTGAGTCAGTGTCCCTGAATCTGTTGTCCAGTCCAGACGGTTCGGTGAGACGCCCGCTCAGTCGCTCACATTACCGAGACGTCATTTCGTCCTCTGTTCGTCCTCCTGATATCACTCACACTGCGGACCCATGGCTGGGGCGCTTCCGTTCCGCCCCTGTCGGGACCGTGTACCTCCTCTGGGGAAGGAAGTGGGGAGAGGGAGGCCGTGATATTCCACTGACACATCGTGACCGGTATATACGAGTATCTTTGGACCTTCGAGTCAGCAGCGTTTGCTCTAAAAGCGTCCGGAGATATTTCCTGACTTAGCTCCTGGTATCGTGGTCATCTCCCAGCACCAACTTCAAGCATCACGGACTGAATGGCAAGAGAGGACAGTACCAAACATGCATCCATTGCAAGAGCATGGAATCCAACTGGCCACTCTGTTCTGAGTCCACTCATCTCAACTCTCAAGCTCCTGCCATCTTTGTCTGTCATGTCATTTTGCCCAAATTGCCGCCCGCATCGCTCAGTTTCTTCGTCCTTGTCATCCTCACTGTTACGCCGTTATGGCGGCAGCGCAGCTCTGCGTCCCACCCACCGATACCGAACAAGACCTGTCACTGCTCTGCGCTCCATCGTTTCCTAACATTTCCCGTCACTGCTCTGCACTGCGGATTCCGACACAAGCCAGTCCGCGTGCGTCTGCCGCCTCTACAACTCATAGTCACCGCAGACATTCTGCAGACATGGCAGACAACAGGCAGACACAACGCAGAAAACGGCAGCGGGCCGACGATCCACCGATCGTGACGAGCGCTGACGGTTAACGAGCGTCGAAAGCGTCGGCTCCAATCCTGCCCCTGAGAGCGTATGAGCGTCTAAGGGGCGAGGTGCGTCACTGACAAGATGGTCTGGGTAGTCGCTCTAACCTATACGCATAACATAAACAGAATTCACAGTTAGGCAAGGCCAAGGACAGTTTAATTTAATTGCTAGTGGCACCGTACATTGACGCATACAAAAATTAGAGCAAGCTGCATTCGGCGCAACTGACGCCAAATAATGATATAATTGGGTATAGGCGATAACTTCGGAACTTCGGAACCAAAGCGGTTGAATCAATTATCAGTTGTGCATTTAGAATTCCGCTTCAGAAATGGAAATATGTGTGCTTGTGTGTGTACGTGTGTGTGTGTGTTCGTCACCGCGCGGTTCCCTAGCGCAGGTCCACTACCAATTACCATAAATACTGGGTCCGGCCGGCGCCGGCGACAGTCAGTAAGGTCGTAAATCGCAGGAAATGCTAGCAGCGTGTCGCCCCTAGCCGACGACCGTTCGTCGCTCCCATCGCGGAGACATGCAGGGGTCCTACATCGCCTCTGTTCTGAGAGTTTCGGTCAGGAATGCACCGCAGCGCACGTTTGGATAGCGACTGTGTCCTTCAGAGAGTGGGTGATCGATTCTCAGAAAAGTCGAAGTCTGAAGCCACAAATGCGACTCTGCGATGCGCAAAGTACATTTTATGGGGAGCACTAATAAGAAAAAAAATCAAACTAATAAAACCGGAAAGGGTTCAGAAAGCAGGCCAGTTGGAGACGACGGTAAGGCATGTACTAGTTAGCATTTTAGACTAATGTATTTCAAATGAACCACTAGAGCGTTGGGTCGTTCACCAAAAACGTCGGGAACAAAATAGCTACATAATTGAAATAAATATACCTCCGCTGGAGACCGGGCGATGCAAATCAATATGAGCCGCAATACCCGAAAAGGATTTTGATATTCAACTAACTATTTCTTTCATTTTAAAGGGACTTGAGACAATCAGATGTGCTTAGGAACACTGAATGCAAGCTATAATTTTTGCAGCGTTACCAACCATAAAATCAGGTTCCTGTCCCACGTTCCCAACCAGGAACCAGCCTATTGTTCAGTCAGATTCACGCTTAAAGGTTTTCGATTGTAGTTACACGATGGAGCCGCCGAGAGGACTTTGGATATAAATATGCTAATGACTGGTATAACGCTCGTCTTTAGTCGCCGGAAATTCTGATGAGCCTGAGCACTGATTACTCCCGAATCCATAGGGGAGACCGAACAAATCCCTGTGGAATTACCAGGAAGTCACTGGATGCCTAGCAGTCTAAAACGCAGGATTCTTTCCGAGGAACACTTGGCCCCTCGCTAAATGCTGAAATTATGTGAATGGCCCTAAGGGTTATAGGTATACTGCTGATATTTTGATGCCCCCTTTCTGTAACTCTTTGGGCAGCCTAATGTAAGAAAATTTAATGACTTAAAGTTACACTGAGTAATGCTAGATGAACTGAGTGATTTTTACTAGCAGCCGCTAAGTGAAGCAAAGGAGTTTCTACCCAGTCTGAGAAAACCCTGAATGGATTGGAAAACAGTTGAACCCCGAGATTGTGCTAGTGGGTCCGAGACTTTGAATGTGTGAATTACGGTGACCTTGGCCGAAGGATCCAAAACATCCAAAGCTCTGATCGTAGGTTCCAGCGGCTATCGCAGCTTCTCGAGTCCTCGGCTGTGTCGGGGTCCCAAGGCTCTGCCCATAAGGGCCTTCGAGGCTCGGAGCGCCCCTGAGGATACCAAACGGCTCCCGCCTAATTTGATGGCGCTGGAATTAATATGCGGGTTCATAACGCCAGGTCTAGGGCCGGCAGTAACTTTTACATTTCTCATTAGCCCCGGCTCGCGGCCCGATGAGTGCGCTGGTGAAGAGGTCCGCTTATTAACCGCCACTGTCGCAGCTCGGTCGGATGCCGCTCTGTGCGGGGCCGGCGGGGAGGAAGCGCTCCAACACGGTGTAATCATAAGCCCAGAGAGCACCATGGGCCGCTTGCTTAGCGGTGATATTTGAAACGGTATTCAAACGGAGCGCCATGCCTGATTAACAATGATCACAAAGCGGCCGCAGGGATGACTGAGGAAAAGCGGTGGCACGGTAAATGAGTGGTTTGTTGCTGGCATTGCGCTGTAACGGCTTATGCAATTTTATTGATTTTATGGAAAATAGGCTGAGCGTAATTGAAAGACTGAGCCTGAAATTTACAGTGTAAATTGCATTTGGACGAAAGAGAGAACATTAATCAAAGGTCTTTTCCTTATCAATTCATTTTTTTTTCTTTCTTCAATTTACTTAAGCACAGAACTAAAAAGCTATTCGCTGAAAGTCATTCTCTAATCAGTCTTTCTTCTCACGTTTTGCCCACATAAGTGCTCAGGCGGACCCCAATGAAAAAGGGGACATCACAATCAGTTGTCCTTCCTGTAGCGTCCGTAATAGATGAACTTGTGTATTTCACTCGCCTAAGAAGACTCGTTAAACATCGAAAGCATTATTCTTGAACTTCAGATATTGACACCTGTCCTCATAGCCCGGCCCGGCTCCCCTGGGTCCACCCCGAGTCACGTGCCTTACGGCTGTGTGCCGGCAGGCTGGCGGTGCCTCACCAGTCACGAGTGTGTCTCGGCGCTCAACAAGTGTGACGGCGTCACCCACTGCCCGGACGGCAGTGATGAGGACCGGCGCGACTGTATGCTCGAGCCGTGCCACGGCAAGAACCGCTTCAAGTGCGCCAACGGAGTCTGCGTTGACGCAGAGGAGAGGTAGGGCACTGTCTTCACGGGGGTGGAGCCAGGGTGGAACAGTATCTCCTTGGCGCTTTTATTGGTCCTTCAGTTACTTTCCACGGAGTAGGCAATGCACGCACTACTGGATATAATTTATCATTTATTTGTGCATCTACTTCTTAGCTGCTATACTTATATGCTGATAAATTGGCAACGTGAAACATCTGAACATCGGTAAAGACGCAATACATGTAGCACATCACTTTGTCGGTCACATGTGAAAGCTAATCCCATTTGCACCTTATATGTACACCGTAACCATACGCAATACGCATGCTGAGCAAACATGATTAATTAATCCGGTAGATAATAAAAAAGGGTACCACGGAAAACTTTTTTCATTCTGTTTACTGTCAAAGGTACAATAAAACTTTATGCTAATGTCCTTTAATTTACATCAGGAAATATATAAAATGACAGTTTCAAACTATTTCGCCACTTTCGAGTAGCTGAGCCCTAGGGTGCTCACGAGTTGATGGGCTATTAACCATCTCGTCTTGTTCCCCATTTGTAAGTGGAAAGGAGGCGATAGACGAACGCGTAAATTGGTCATAAAAGGAGCATAAAATCCAAACAAATCTGCCCAAAGTGTCGCTCTACGCTCAGTAAGTAAATTGCAACCATTACTGCTCAACCTACCCGCCGCGGAGAGATCGATGTAGAGGAAGCACAGTAGCAAAAAAGTGCATAAAAACTGCAAAAAGTGACTCCAATCATCGAGGACATTTCAGGTTTTTTTAAGCCGCTTTCGCTGATGAGGGGGTTGCGTCAGACTTGCATAAAAACTGATTACACGACAATTATCACAATTTTGCGACAGATAACTTGGCAATAAATTAACAGATTCACATCAGCTTTTACAATGTTACGAATTTCACGATCTATTTATTCAATTTTTTTTTTTAGGTACAAATACCATTCAGAAAATAGGCATAAATAAAGGCAACATATAATGGAAATCATAGATGTCATAGTGATATGTCATAGGACCAACAAAAGTGCCTAAAACTAAAAGTACCCTCCGATCGGCCATTGCTTCACACAATGGGCTCGAGGGGATAGAGCGGGACCGCCGCAACACTGGCTCGATGCTGGTGTGATGACCGCCTCGGTACCGTGGGAAATGTCTGCCACGGGGCTGGCACGGCACTGCCGTGGGGCCTGGCTGGACCGAGCACTGTGCAATGTGATGAAACGTCAGCGATCCTGTGCCTTGTTTTCAGCATTGCCGCTGCAGTGGCCAAGGTGCCGACATACCTATACAGCGAACGCCGTGCCGCCGCGGCTTAACTAGGGGTTGCCGCAAGGCTGTAGCACAGTTCCAATGCTAAGAACAAGAACTGCAGTGAGCACAGTGCATACACCAGACTGACAGATGGAAAAATGGATCACTTTGTCCTCCATTTGTTATTGCAGCTGTAGGAATGCAGTTGTACGCATGCTTAGCCAGGAGTGGCGGAAGAGGGGGTGCAGGGGTGCAGCTGTACGCCATCCAGAAACATGGGGTGCAAAAAAGTAGAAACCGCCCATCGAGCCATTCAAACTTTTCCTCCTGAAAGCTAGTGATCGGGAAACGAAAGTCGATGTGAGACCATCGAAAGTCCATTTAAGAGCGCGAGCGTCAAGAGCACGAGCGCCCTCCATCGGTCTTTGGGGCCCCCACAGGCCACAATGCTTTTGTGGCCCCGAATCGCGTTTGATGCCTGGGGCTGGACGACCTAGAGTATTTGGACGACCTGGGCACCAGTCACCACTTGCCGTTCCAGATCTTAAGTGACAACGATTTGGTGCCTGGTGTCTGGTATAAACGTGCACTATGTAGTGTCAATAATGGCACTGGAACAGTGGCCTGTAAAACGACGAAATGTTGACTTGATGCGCCTCTTGCGATGAATGTAGGACGCTGTTAAATGCCTAGTGCCGCACTCAAAGCTTACCAATAATTCAACAGAGACATTAATTAATGCATTCCTGGCATCACAATTTTAACGTTTATATGCTGCAATAAATGCGATGCTTAATGGGATCCAACGGGCTTCGCAAAATATGACATTGTCGCCAAAATAAGCTTAGGGGATTGTCATGGATAGGTACCTAGGAAATCTGCAGGAGAGCTGTTGCAAAAGAAAAAAATATCGTTCCACTTCCAGCGTATCTCATTCTTTATGTAGGCATCAAGTAATTTGATAACCGGATTTGATATACCAATACGAAACCGATACCTATCTGATATTTCATACATGTTTTATCAAATATTTTATTGGTTTTAAGAAGCCCAATTTATGTACCAGCAAAGCCATAAAACACTTGTACCAATAAAACGAGTGAGCGAGCGCAAATGTGAGCCGTTCAGGTCTGGAGCTGAACAGTAATACTCCCAACTCATCTCTCGTCCCGTGTGCATCCGCGAGTCCGTGCCGCTGTGTGACCGCCGCTGCCACTCCGTGCCGACCCCGTGCTCCCCGTGTTCTGTCCGCAGGTGCGACTGCCACCCGGTGTGTTCAGACGGCTCAGACGAGTGGAACTGTGGCACCGAGCGGCGCTCCTGCCGACCGCACGAGTTCAGTTGCACGCTCTCCGGGCCGCCGCGGCTCTGCCTGAAAAGGTGTAATGTGTGTGATGGCCACATGGACTGCCCGCACGGAGAGGATGAGAAGATCTGCCGCGAGTGTCGGCACGGCGCCTTCCACTGCCGATCGGACGTCTGCATCGAGCAGTTCAGAAGGTGGGCAGCAGCGGCAGCCGTAGAGCCTGTGTGGGGCGCTAGCGCGGGGAGTGGTGGTTACAGTAGCGGCGGAACACCTTCAATCAAAGGGGGGCACTGCCTACTTTTGGTCTCATTCTGTCCATGCAACGCCCATAGGGATAATGTTAAAATGCCAAAATCAAAGGAGGGCACGGTGCCCCGGTGCCCTCTCCGTTCCGCCGCCTATGGGTGGTTAGTTTTTGGTTTGACAAAACAAAAACAGTCCATAGATAATATTGTAGTTATTATGAAATTGTACCTATAAAGTAAGTACACCATTCTATTTGTACTAGAGATGCCACTTTTGAACCCGCGAACCCGCTTTCTGCGGGTTTTCAAAACCCGCAGGGTTTTTGGCGGGTTCGAGAAGCAAAACTTGTCGTGTGGCGGGTATTTGGCGGTCAGACTTAAGAACCTATATATTTTTTTTTTTAGATGCAAAACACAATGCCAAGTGCATTTGCTCAGGTTAGCAATACAATATTCATCAAAACAACTTTTAAAACAGAACCAAATATAGAAATATATCAAGCAAGCACATTTCAAATGCAAAACTGAAAACAACCAGCAATAGCATCCACAGTCTAGCAATGACCAAACCAAGGTATAAGCAACAAACTACAAAGCATAAATAATTGCTGATGAAAGCATTCCATAAAACATAAAAGAACCTGAAAGCAAACTTATAGGAAGCTGAACTGAAGTCTATGTGCAGTGTGCACTAGATATACATTATGGAAGAACCCAGAATCAGAGCAAATGCCACATGCTACTTTATTTGCGTCTGGTCGGCATAAAAAAGAGCTATCAACTAAACAAAATTTGATGCAAATTCATTGATTACCTATCCTATGTTCTGTTCCACCCTATATTACGAAAATAACACACCAATTACCCTTACAAAAAAATCAAAATATTGACTGGGCGGCCCAAATATAACGCAATACAATACTGGCGCACTTCCGACATTCTGACAAGGATTGGCATTTGACTGCGTCAATTTTGGTCTCTGAGGCAAAGGAAAGCTGTCATTGATGACGCAATAATTTTACAATCAATTTTTCTGTCTTGGTTTTTGAATACCTCAAAATAGCAGTTATACATGTTACATACAAAACCACGTAGCTGGTCGCATTTATTTCTTTTGTCTTTTTACGTGCTTATCATTTGTATGACGAGAGAGCCGGAGAGCATTACCAAGACCAAGACCATGTATATGAAATCATTACATTTAATTTAGTATTTACTGTCTCTTTATTTCTTAACCGGTTATTAACCCTTAAATGGTAAAACTTTAGCTGTTGTGTAAAATAACTTTATCAGAATGGCACATGAATATGCATTATACATCGGTGTTTTCGCAACAAGTTCGCACTAACTACGGCCGCAATAATTTAGTCGCTGTAACATTCTTTGCAATCAGCTGTTGGTGACGCTTCTGACGCATGTTTCCAGAAACGCGTGGTTCATTGGTGGTTAGTTGGTTTTTGCTGGGATTTTGCATGATTTGTTTTATGTGTAGATCGACTGGATACTTATTATTCACCGTGTCACTATTTATTTTTAACTGGAAATCGCATATCTTTTATATCAACATTCATTTTGATAACAATATCATTCCAGAAGCCTAACATTGAGAGGGAGCCAGAGTAAAATTTTGATCCTCAGCCAATGCTGAAGGGTAAGGTGAGAGAAAGATTTTACTGAACTCTTTTCAGAAAGGAATTTCAAATGTATTGATGCATTATTCGTTATCCACTATCCAGTGTGCACTTCCTGAGGACTTAGCATAGCAATTTCAAGTCCTTACTATTTGTTTGGCTGTCTTTTTCTGCACAGCAATGAAGCAAGTAACAGTAAGGTTTGTATAGCTCTAGCATTGACCCAGCTGTATTTTTTTCTTGCAAAAGCAGGTTTTCAAAATTGCGGGTTTTTTGCGGGTTCGGCTCAGCCAAAATCAGCTTGCGGGTAGTTGTGGTTGGGCAAGGGGTAGCTGCGGGGCGGGGCGGGTAATGAAATTGCAAATTTGTGGCATCTCTAATTTGTACATAAACATGATGTCAGGAAATTTGTTTACAAAACCATATATACATGTCATTCGTTTTGGCTCACTGACCACACCTGGAATTGGAAAACTATATTCGCATGCTTTTTGCAATATGCCTGTCGCCACACAGTTCCTTACATGAGGATGTGTCCACCTTGCCTTTATTTACTGCCACCGAGGATTGGCCCGATCGGTAGCCCCCTCCACCACCCTACCCAGTCCCCCCCCCCCTTTTCCCATTTCGGTGGCGCGACGGCGGCGACGCGTCTGGCGCACCGGCGATGGCCAGATTCAAGCATTAACGGGACGTTGAATCGTGATTAGCGGGCCGAGGTGACACGACGCGACACCGAGCCAGTGGAGTCCAGGGAAGAGGGAGGGGGAGGGGGGGCGATAGCGGCGGCCCGCCGTGGTCGGCCGATAACACGCGCAGTGTGAGCCGAGCCGCGGTGCACAAGGGGTGCGCGGAGTGTTTCTCGCGCGGCGCGCGCGACGAACGCGATATAAGTGCTGGCCATGGCCACGGCCGACGGGTGTGACCTGATCCGTATATGCCGTGTGCACAGGAGGACCTGGCAACTGTGGTCCCCGTCGTGTCATGGCCACGGCCGACGGGTGTGACCTGATCCGTATATGCCGTGTGCACAGGAGGACCTGGCAACTGTGGTCCCCGTCGTGTCATGGCCACGGCCGACGGGTGTGACCGGATCCGTACATGCCGCGTGAACAGGATGACCTGGCAACTGTGGTCCCCGTCGTGTCATGGCCACGGCCGACGGGTGTGACCTGATCCGTACATGCCGTGTGAACAGGATGACCTGGCAACTGTGGTCCCCGTCGTGTCATGGCCACGGCCGACGGGTGTGACCTGATTCGTACATGCCGTGTGAACAGGATGACCTGGCAACTGTGGTCCCCGTCGTGCCATGGCCACGGCCGACGGGTGTGACCTGATCCGTACATGCCGTGTGAACAGGATGATCTGGCAACTGTGGTCCCCGTCGTGTCATGGCCACGGCCGACGGGTGTGACCTGATCCGTACATGCCGTGTGAACAGGATGACCTGGCAACTGTGGTCCCCGTCGTGCCATGGCCACGGCCGACGGGTGTGACCTGATCCGTACATGCCGTGTGCACAGGAGGACCTGGCACTCTGTGGTCCCCGTCGTGTCATGGCCATGGCCGACGGGTGTGACCTGATCCGTACATGCCGTGTGAACAGGATGACCTGGCAACTGTGGTCCCCGTCGTGTCATGGCCACGGCCGACGGGTGTGACCTGATCCGTACGTGCCGTGTGAACAGGATGACCTGGCAACTGTGGTCCCCGTCGTGTCATGGCCACGGCCGACGGGTGTGACCTGATCCGTACGTGCCGTGTGAACAGGATGACCTGGCAACTGTGGTCCCCGTCGTGCCATGGCCACGGCCGACGGGTGTGACCTGATCCTTATATGCCGTGTGCACAGGAGGACCTGGCAACTGTGGTCCCCGTCGTGTCATGGCCACGGCCGACGGGTGTGACCTGATCCGTACATGCCGTGTGAACGGGGCCGGACCGGACACTGGGCCGCCTGTGGCCGCAGCCGCCGGAAGCCGCGCCAAGTCGTGCCGACTGAGCGCGTCGGCCGCGCCGTTCTCTTTCGTTGCCACGTACTCGACGGATACAGCGGACTCATGGAACGCCGTCCAGAACAGGGGCTGACGCAGCAGCGCCATAATCAGTGGCGACCCCGACCATCCCCTCCCCCCAGACCCCCACCACCCCCATGTTATCGGACCGGATCAGCACGCGGTGCCCGCCCCATCTCTCTCCCCACACCAAACATGCCACCATGACGGGGATGAGCTCCAGCCACGTCATGGATGGCGCGACGTCACACTGCAGCTCGCGGGGCCACTCCATCATCCACCATTCGTCTCCGTGCCACGCCCCCATCCCCCGACGTGAGCTGTCCGTGTTCATCACAATACAGTGGTCGTACTCGCCCGGTGGCGGGAGGGGGGGGGGGAATGCCGTTCCACATCGGCAAAAAGTGGCCCACCACCGTAAAACCGCCCGTACATCGGCCGTGATCCGCACCCGGCGGTTCGGTCCGCTAACCGAGTGCGCCGCATCTAGCAGGCGTCTAGTGAACGCCCTCCCCGGCGGGACGCACTTGCTGGCGTGCACTAGACGTCCCACCACCGACAGCAGTTCCCGCTGTAAGCATTTCTGTTGCCCGAACAGTGTCTTTAGTAACTCCTGGGTGCCCACTAGCTTGGCGTCTGGCAACGCTAGGGTCATTGTTTCTGTGTCGATCACAACCCGAGAAGCTCCATCCGTGTTGATGGCGGGGCGCATTTCCGCTCGGCCAGCGGCACGCACACTTCCGCACAAATGTCTCGCAGTCTCGCATACGCTACGTCGGCACTGTCCGATCCTCCGCGCCCTATCCCGAAGAAGTCATCTAAATAATTGCGTATATACACGTCCGATGTCTGATCCTGGAACACATAGGCGCAAACATGTGGCAAAATCATTGAAAATCCGTGGACTGCTTCTAGCCTCAATGGCAGACAAACCTGGTAGTATAGTAAACCGTCCCAACAGAACCCCAGTAGCGCCCACTGGCCGGGCCGGTTGGGGTGTTTGGCGGTGGCTCGCACAGAGCTGGAGGCGAAGATAAACCCGGGTGTTGACGGCCTTTCACAGCCAAACAGGGAGGGGAGTTGATCGGAGGACACGCTAATCAAGCATTAACGGGACGTTGAATCGTGATTAGCGGGCCGAGGTGACACGACGCGACACCGAGCCAGTGGAGTCCAGGGAAGAGGGAGGGGGAGGGGGGGCGATAGCGGCGGCCCGCCGTGGTCGGCCGATAACACGCGCAGTGTGAGCCGAGCCGCGGTGCACGAGGGGTGCGCGGAGTGTTTGCCCACCCACCATCCCCATCATCACCGTCCTGTCCTTTGTTCCCAAACGACCCTCGTCGTCCACCCGGGTTTGACGAAGCGGTGGCTCGCACAGAGCTGGAGGCGAAGATAAACCCGGGTGTTGACGGCCTTTCACAGCCAAACAGGGAGGGGAGTTGATCGGAGGACACGCTAAACGCCGTTATGGTCCATTCTGGGCGGCTCTGTGCCGTCGGCGGCGCCGCCAAATCCCCATAATTGTTTATCGAGTCCGTTATTTACCGGGTGGCGGCGCGTCGCTCCTTATCACCGCCATTGAGAGGGCCGGTCGGGCGCGCGGGGCGATCGCCGTCCAGCCGGGACACCGCTGATGTGGCGCCGTTTGATCGACAGCTCCGGCGCGCCGATTCGATACAGATAGAGGCGTTCAATTGCAGCCGGTAGCCGGCGGCGCGGAGGCGGCGGATTTTCATTAACCGGCCCGAGATGGGTCTTTGTTTGAGGCCGGCTGCGAAGTTCGCCAGGAGCTGGCTAAGGTCACCGAGGGTCGCCAGGTCACCAGGCGCCGTTTCAGCAGCGGCAAAGGTCAAGTCGTGCCGAGCTGCCCGAGGCGCAGTCACCTGGAGACTGGCCGAGATATAAAGGCACTTAGCTGCGGCATCACGCCAGGTTTCCGGACACACCTTCGGGCGGCGCCAGCAACAACACCCTGACGACGACATCCTGCCGGCAGTGACGTCACACACCGCCCAGATCCGCCGGTGACGTCATACCGACACGCAACAGGTCCGCGACTCCGCCGCCCCCGACGCGCACAAAGAGTCGTGTCTGGCGGCAATAACGAGCCCTGCGGCGTCGACGACACCGACGGAGACCGCCGAGCTCCGGGAATAAAATACGGCCGCCCGGCAGCAATAGAAAACATCGCCGTCCGCTGCTGGGCCGAGGGGAGCCCGGCAACCGAGCCAGTCTTCCCGGTGGAACGGGGCAAGGGTCGAGGGGGAGGCAATAGGACATGAACGTCCCGATCTGATCTGACCCATACTGGTAACGTCCCAGCGAAACCAGGCACCGTCCTGCCACGCCGCCCGCGCCGCCTGTGCCAATAAAACTGTCGCAACTAGAATATTCAAACAGGCCAAATAATAAATTTTCTCGGCGGCCACGGGGAGAGATTTACTGCGCGTTTTAACGCCGGATTTGATATTTCATAGCGCCGGAGGGCGTTTGGGGCCGCGCGGAGAGTCGGCAGTCGTCAGCCGGCGCGAGCGGCCCTCTTTGTTGCGGCTCCGGTTGCGTGTCACCGTGCGACTGGGGGGCGGTCGGCCGCCGGGCCAACTTGGGCAATATCAGTGGCGGCCTCACCGGGCGGACACGTGAACGGAGATGAAATGGAGCCGCGCTCTCTGTGTGGAGGCGGGCGCGCAGATTTGAGAGGGCGAGTCATCAGAGGAATGGCACCGGCCGGTCGTCGAACAACTTTGGGAAATGCTCCGCGACGGGAAGTGGGGAGCGGACGGGCGGTGCAGGTAGAAGGGCAGCTATTTTCCACCGGCGGAGATCGATGACAATGCGCCGAATTGAGCCGACGGCGTCCGAGTGTGTTATTGGTACAAATGTGAACAGACAGAAAGGCGCAACAACATTGTCGCTGCGTTCCTCCTCCATACTTATATGCTTTTCGACAAACTTTCTTGACGACCAGCGTACTTTGTATTGGTATTAGCGGATGAATATGAAAATGCGGATTATGATTGATGATACGGAATGGATCCAAAGCCGTTTGCCAAAGTAAGAATCTCCAAAGTGCACCGTGTGCGCTCATTGGCCATGCGGCACAACCCTTCCTTCCCGAAACATGTTATGTAGCCGCGGAAATGACCATATGGTGGAGAGGACGGTGGCGATGGGGATGGAAGATGCGAAGGGCTGTGACTCCGCACTATCACGGTGCGGAGGGCTGTGGATGTGAGCACTGGACTGTGACGTTGCTCCCGTCCACAGGTGTAACGGCGTGGAGGACTGTGACGGCGGCGAGGACGAGCTCGACTGTCCCGAGGAGCCGCGCTCGCCGGTCAGCGCCGGCCGCCGGCCGCGGCACCCGGAGGCCGGGGGTCGCGCCGGCGCCGCCGGGCCGACCGCGCTGCTCGGCGCCGGCCTGCCGCCGACACTGCTGACGCTGCTGCTGCTGACGCTGCTAACGCTCCGCTGAACACACCGCTCTGCGCCAGCCGCCGCCGCCGGCCGGCGTGGGACCCGGCTGCGGCAGACCCACCGTGTCTGTCACCGCAGACAACGGCATCAGCTTCAGCCATTCATTCACCATGCGATCATGTTGATTGGTTATCTCCGCAATCAGCAAGTGACCGGCTGGGTAAAAGAACGGATTCATATCCGAACTCCGGTGCCAATTTTGTACAGGGTGGTTTCCAACATGGCTCAAACATGGAATCTCAACCATTAAATATTTATTTCTTACAGAGGAACTTGTAGATATCAAAATGCGACATGGACCACTTCTTGGTCTGAAGGGCTATTTGTAATTATGGTCGGATCGCCCCCGAACCTGACCACTGTGCGCTGCGCGGCGGTCTCGCCGGGCTCACCTTTTACAGCCCTACCGAGTCGTCTCGCTGGGGATTTTGTATGGAGCGCGCCCATTGGGGGTTGTATGTAGTGCATGGTAATTGTATTGGACACTTGTATAGTCAGCGGGAGTTGCACAGCTATGGCAGGGTCCGAGACGACCTGGTTTAAGCAGCCGAAGGTCAGAAGGCCAGAGTGCCCCACCAGGCAGCGTTCGTTTTCAGTAAGGCACCGCCCTCACACTAGCTATCCGACCCGTCTGATTCCAGCCAGCCAGTCAGCAGAAATTCCAGGCGATAAATTATCGCGTCGGTCTATGGCTCATCTATCGACCCGGCCGATGTCGCTGGGTCAGTTCGATTTTCGGCGGCTACTGTTCCAGGTCACCGGTCATGGCGGGCTGGGAGCCAAGGCCTTGCATTGCCTTGTAATTTGCGTACCCTCGCTTCCCCTTTTCCTTAATCCTTTCATTCCCCGACACCCACCATCTCCTTGGCGGCTCTGGGCTCAGTCATCGCATTGGCTCCTGGCCACGGGTCGCGGTGTCGACACAAATTAATTGCAAGTACAATAGCGAGGTCACTCGTCGCTCCCCACCGGGCCCAAGCAACCAGTGGCAGCTAATGTTAGCGGGTATGACGGCCAGCCAATGGTTGAGAGCTTTGCGAGACATCTTTTTATACGTTTATGTGAAGTGCTATCGAAGCTGTGCGCTTCACCGAATCTCGATAGAGCTGAAGTTTATTTTTATTTATTTACACTGGTCCATGTAGGTATTAGTAAAGTAATCTTGCATGTAGGATTGTAGGATGTAGGTGCGTGTAGACTGTAGCTGTAGCGAACATACTGAAGAACCTCCGTCGGTCGCACGTCAGTAGGTTTACAAGAGATTCCTGGGTCATTAAATTAAATTAAATGAATTACATTTGATTGGGTCTGGTTATTGTACTGAAGTATGTTACGTGCCATGATTTGAGATTGCAAACATTCTTCGTCATTTGCATTAATTTTAGGGCCGCTTAATCTTTTTACAAGCCTTCCCATGGAATCAAATGAGGTACCTACTCGTTGCCTTATACGATTCCCGCGCAGCCTTCAAAATAATTAAAAAGCAATATAAAGTTTTTCGCAATCTTCATCTCCTGTTATATTTACTAAGATTGCATTTTCCTACATGCCGGGGTATGTCTTAACCACAGCACGAGCCGGGCAGTAAAACTATGACCAAGAAACTGTCGGTGTCAAAATGCCATGTTATTTGATAGGCCGGGCAGGAAACAAAAGTTTACTGCCCGAGTTTACTGCCCAGGGCAATGACCTCTAAACTATAGAGTTTATCGCGTTAGCTCGCATTAACCCAGGGAATATATAATTGACATCATTATTGCATGATATTTGCATCGTAAAATTAGAAAGCTAACTTTTTTTGTAAAAAAATATCTGCTCTGCTTATAAAGGGCTTTGAAATATTTTGTATTGGCTACAAAGCCAAAATTATGGTTAGATATGCGCCTATTAACCGAAATCCATTATCGTTTGTTGTCTTATCTTCGTTTTATATATACACTGTCTCCTTGGGCCTAAGTTTATTCATTTATTGCGTTATTATTTGACAGCTGTAGTCCTTTCCTCGAAACAAACATGTAAAATTTAAATATGGAAAATATAATGTAGTTCACGAACATTTTGCCATAGGGCGTCAACAAAGCACGATTACATACCTATATAAAGCAAAGATTTTTGCAAGAAAACTGGAAAATTCACGTTTTATCACTAGGAATAGTAAACCTTCTTCTTGTTCTTATGTAGTGGCAAATCATTCATGTATTATGTTCCTTGGATATCCAATTGTTGTGCCATTCTGAGGAAATATTTTCAGAGACGATTCCGTTTGAAGTAAGGTATTTTGATGCATTTTCGTCCATGAATTTCCTTCAAAGCTTCATCCACAGCAGTAGCGCAATCATTGTTAGAAAATTATGGACAAAACAATTGTATAAGTGTCACCAAAACCTGTCAAAACGTTTTAATAGGTATGCGGCATGTAGGAAAAATCTTACTGACCTCAGCCGTACGAAATTATTTGGAAACTCGGCTTGCAAAATTTGACTCCGGCCCTCGTGCTCCGCACTCGGGCCTCCGTCAATTTTGCAAACCTCGTTTCCAAATAATTTCGTCGGCCCGGTCAGTAATATATATTCATATTACCGTTATTTAAAGAACCGCAGTCTCCGCCTTACTTTTGTACTAGTGTGCACCTGTATTTGTCACTGTTCCTGGATCTCTTTTTTTCCAGACATTATTCGTGGATGGCTTGCAAATAGGTAGGGTATAGCTACTTAATCATGTCGTGGAGGTGTGTAAATATGAATGTCTGTGTGTTTGTGTGCATATAAAAGTTATTTTGTAGGTATTTAACGTGGCACACGACGATGCATGAATGGTTTATAGATACTAAGCACCATCGTTTCCGTCTTCTGAGGCGCACAATACAGAAACATAGCAAATAGGCCGAACAATTTAAAGTTGCTGAAAACGCGTAAACTCAGTTTATGTCAGCCTTCTCCGTGCTTGCTCTCATTTATCATTTCTAAGCATCCGCTGCAGTTTTGCCTCTGCCTCAACACTCAATCCAGGATATTGTTCAAGCCGACGAGCACTAATACCGAGCCATGACAAGTTGTCAAGGACAGTAAAGACAGGCGAAACTTCTACGGATTATCGAAAACCTGAGCAACAAACCAATCGGGATACTATTTTCTCGACCACAACATGTTATAAATCACTAAAGTGCAGCGCACAAGACGTTCACCGATAGCTCCTCGCGGGGTGTGCATTCAGTTTAGCCAATGTGCATAAGGATAACGAGAGAAAGGGGAAAGAAGGGGATTGAGAGGAGGGAGTGGAGGGACCAAGGGCCGGACTGATGCATGTACAAAGCGCCCCAGCGCCTGGAGAGGTGAGGTGGGGAGGAGCAAGTGGGGAGTGGGCTCATCAACAAAACAAGTGGACTAAGGAATAATGAAGGGAGAGAGAGAGAGAGAGAGAGAGAGAGAGAGAGGGGGGGGTCGATCGTTTAGACGGTCAGATAGACTGATTAGGGGAGACTGATATGGGGTAAGCCGTAAGTACTGTAAGGGACGTTCAAATCGTCCAGTGGAATAAAGGGAGGAATGGCAGATACTTTGCATAGGTAGAAACTAAGGATGATGACAGCAGCACAATGTTTAGTTAATGTAGGTAAGGTGGACTGAGCAGCAAATCAGAATATCATTTAAAGTCGGAGGAGGAGGGAGTAGAGTATGTACCTATCTTCAGCCGATGGCTGCACGAGTTACTGAAAACGGGCTCAGAGAGCTGGAACCTCTCTGCACGTGAGTGGATGGATCAATGACTTGCTGCGCTCTTTGCTGACAAAATCTATCGTACAAAAAGGGAGAGATGAAAAATAACTTATTGTTTTAATCGTACGATGTCATGTCTACAGCCGTACGGGACACCCACAAATTCAAATGATATCATGATCGGTTTTTTTATGCAGAAGTACACTACTTTTATTTCCTTGCTCCGTAAGACGTGCCAAATGCAGTGGTGTAAGATAAGAAAGAAATTTCTAAGAAACTACTGCACAGGCGAAAACCGCAGACAATGTTCATTGTTCATGTCATTACCGAGCGTAACTACTTCATCGAAGAAGGTCAAAATTCATACTAAAATGTCAGTGGCGTGCGTTCTCGCAACAGCAAAATTTGCCCCTTTCAATGCAGCAAAGCTCCAATATTCGGTTCGAAGAAATTTGCAAGCTTCACAGGAAGTGTCCATTTCCGACGAAAGAATGTGCGCGCGCTAAGTGACCTGATTGCGAGGGGCCAATATTTCACGATATGGTGTTTGAATAACTTTGAACACTGGTGGATATTGAAGCTGAAATGGAGCATGGTGCGGTTGATGGAGATAAGCGTGCAACGTGTGAGGAGATATGGTAGATTCTAAGAGTGGGAGATAACTTAAAATATGTTCATGAGGAGCAGTGCACTGTCGAGCTGAGGAAAGTCGCAGGTTAGTCGCTGGCGGTTGAAAAGATCGAGAGGGTCTAGACATTTTTTAGAAACAGTAGCGAACATGTAGACTGTAGACTAGAGTTGGCAGCCATGCCTGGTAGGGTGCGCTGACTGGAAGTGATCAGAAACGCAGACGGAAGGAAAGTCCATCATAGTCACTGAACTTCCCACTTATGGCTAAATTGGTATGGAGTACCAACAAATGTCAATGGGGCTTAGTTTTCCTGGAATTGGCATCTCTGACGAGGCTCATCTGGCTGTGGTGTGAATGATTTGTGGCGCCGCCCTGCAAAAGGGCAGAATGCTGACAGCTTCGCGAGACAGCACACGAACTCGAATGAATATGCTTGTGAAATGTAGATCACGGTAGAAAACAGTAGAAACTTTCGGAAAAAGTAAGCAAATTAGTAGAATACTGGTGAGCAGTAGGGCTTGACGGAATACGACGGACGAGAATGGCTAGCTTTTGAAGGCTAGTGCAGAAATGCATTCGGAGTTGCCTTTGAATGAGTGATGGGATAGTGCGAGAGCTTGAGAGAGTGCAATGTTCGAGCGAGCAATGGAAGAATCAATACGGCTGTGTGCTTATATTGATAAGACCGGAGACAGTCAGTGGGGAGAGAACGATTTACACTTGCAGTCCGAGACTGATAGGCCGGCTATCCTGGTTTATCTTTATGCTTATTTTCCACCACCCTTGCTGACGCAATGGACTCACCGTACTAAGGCTTAGATACGCGACGAATGATGTGTTCGATGGAATTGTGTAGTGTCATACAAAAGCCAGCTTGTCCATGTTTGCGCCCAAGGGCGAAGGCGATAACAGATTGGTTGACTGTTGCCTCCCCTTTCCACCAACTGTGCGTCAGTTTCAAGAAGAACGTCAGTAACGTCAGTTTCACTTTATAGATCCACCCGTTCAGATAACGTTGTGTATAATTAACTATGCAGTAAAAGTCATCCAATAGCTTGAAGGTTTAGCATCGAACCCTAAAACCTGCACACTGACTATCGCCATCTCGGCGACATCTGGCCCATTTTTGGACGTGATGTGCCATCAGTTGGTACAAATATGAATCATGCCGGCCGTTTCGCAGCACCAGAATATATACATACCAGTACACATGATCGTCTTTTGTATTCGTTACGGGTCGATATGCTTGTTATCTGTATGTGATTGCCCATTGTCTGTGAATGTGCTATGTATGCGCGCCTAGAGTAAGGACGCCGCTTAGAGCTAGGTGTGTAAAAGCAGTGCTTGTATGTAATTGTATGCCAGCTGTACTGTTGTGGTCTTGATGTGTTCGTGGCGCTCTGTGACTTAGACTAGACGCATATTTAAACGGTAAGGTCCATTTGGGACCAGCCACGCCGACCGCGGTCCGACCAAGTGAACGCAGCCATGTCCGACGAGGCCTACAGGCGGTGTTTTCAGACTGCTGCTTTGTATTACATACAATTGTATTTAGAGTGTAGACCGGTAGACGTCATGTGTGTAAGCTTTTCGTAATAAATATAGTGTGTAGAAAGGGTTTTTGTCTGCGCATATGTAGTTGATTCACGTAGCAAATGAATGACAAACACTGACTCACGGTTACCCTAAAAATGAAATTTAACTAGAGACGAGACGCATACAGCCACCCCAGAAAATTTGCATCGATGAAGCCACGAAGAGCCCGTCACTGGAAACTATGTAGAGTTGCAAAATTTCCCTACCGCACTACCGGCATGCCGGTAATTTTTCACTACCGCAGGTTTTTTCGTGGTAGCTGGCATGTGTTGCCGGTAGCATGCAAACTTGTGACAGCTCAAGAAAAAAGTGAGCTCGCTCAGCTCAACTCCGTCTTATCTGCTCCCGCTCAGCTCCCGCTCAGTTTAACGCGGCTCAGCTCAGCTCACGTTCCGCTCAAACCGGCTGCGCTCCGCTCACGCTCAGCTCAGCTCAGTTTCCGCTCAGCTCAGCTCAGCTCAGTTTCCGCTCAGCTCAGCTCAGCTCAACTCAGTTCCCGTTCAGCTCAGCTCAGTTTCCGCTCAATTCAGCTCAGCTCAGGTTCCGCTCAGAAAAAAATGTACCGACGAAAAATATGCACGGGCGAAAAAATGTACAGACGAAAAAATGCGAGACGAAAAAAAGTCGGACGAAAATCTGCGGACGAAAAATTGTCCGACGAAAATCTTCTAGACGAAAAAAAAACATCATGGAATCATCTCAACTAGGCGGTGTTTCACGGCCGAGAGCAGCACGCCCACGCCGCCATCCGCTCTTGGCACCCTGCCAGGAGCTGACGTTACATTTTGGGATAGTGTTGGAACTTGGAGATAAGAGTTTGTTTATATCTCCATGGAAACCCCGTTTGACACGTGTGTCAAACGGGGTTTCCAGCGTGCTGCAGCGTACTGTTATCAGTGAAACCTAGAACACCACCCTGATCTCAACCAAGGCAATGTCAACACTATTAGAATTCATAGTCGGCGTGTGAATAAGGGAGCTTTTCCCATATAATGGACATCAGAACTCAGAAGGTGATAGTTCCAGTTAGCGCCTCTGCCCCACCCCACTTTCAATAGGATATGGTTGCTTAGCCCACATTCATCCAACGAAGAGGAACTTTATTTGCTAATTCCTAATTGTAAATATTTTATGCAGAGGTAAGAACCCTTATCGATAAAATTAATTTAAATAACTGCTTAAAGGTAGTGTGCCACCTTTGAAAGATTTCCCATTTTATTTTTCCTAGGATAAGAAGCTTCTGTTTTTACCTAATATCGCAATAAAAATCAAAAATGGGCCTGGAATAGTGCCTTTTTCGCCTAAAAGTTTTTCGGTTTTTAGATATGTATAACAACTGTAGTGGGCTCACCTGCAAACAGGCGTCGGGCAACAATCGCGAATGCGGCGCACTTTTGACAATAAGCAAAGGTCATTATAGTGTTACGACCATACGACGTACGGGAATGAGTTATCAGCTGTCTAATCGTAGACAACACAATGTCGAGCCTTAAACTGTAAGCCCGTATTGGTATTGTTTCTTTTATTTGGCTGTCGAACATTATTTATGGTTTGAAATATGATTTTATGTAAAATAATTGATATGAAAAAGCCGTCTTATAAGTTATGACCCCATTTCACCACACGCAAGTGGCAGAAATGACAATGATCAGCTGACGCATTTTTCTTGGCCGAAGTCAGAGCGCGCGGCCCGACGCACCACGCGTATTTGGAAATTCCGACCTCGACGAGCATCAGAAGCCACCTAACAGGCGTGTTCGAAACCGCAGGAGATGATGATGAACGGGTTTATCGAAACTTGATTGGATGAGCATATCGGTAATAGCGATTTCAGTGTGTGCATTTATTGTTCATAGTGGTGTGAAATGTGGTTGGGGTACGACCGACAACCCGTCGGGGCGAATTTCGCACTGGGGTACTCAAAATTTGAAGAATCTAAGACGTTTCCATGAGTTTTGAAGGTATGGATAAGTTTTAAAAATCCGGTTCTCCTTATCTGGGCCATTAACTCCATACGGTCCAAGAAAGCTGGCACACTACCTTTAAGTAACAAAGTGAAGAATGCTGAATTGTACATTGCGGAGCAGAGTGTCAAGGCGAAGCATCAAAGCCTGACAGTAGGCATTCATCTTGCAGTCTGACTTGAAACTTGAGACTGGCTGTATGTATTAGCCTGTAAATTGGCCAAGACCCTGGTCTTCCAATTTCCATGCAATATGGATGAAAGAAACTAAGCTTGATTAGTGATTACTAGGTATTGATTTCTTTAGAGTTTTGATATTTTTAAGTGCGATCACGAAGGCAGTGTATTAGTGTATTACTCACTCCATAGCTAGCTCATAGCTGAAGCATCAAAGCCTGAGTTAATTTCCAAGCATGAACTGAAAAGAATTAGAACTGGATCAGCTCAGCTCAGCTAAATCAGCTCAGCTCAATCAGCTCACCTCAGCTCGCTCAGCTCAGCTCAGCTCAGCTCAATCAGCTCAGCTCAGCTCGCTCAGCTCAGCTCAGCTCAGCTCAGCTCAAGCTCATTCAGCTCAGCTCAGCTCAAGCTCATTCAGCTCAGCTCAGACAGCAGCTCAGCTCAATGCATTACTGAGCCGGCTCAGCTCACAGCTCAATAATTTGGCAAAATGTTGAGCCGGCTCAACTGAGCTGATCACAAGTCTGGTAGCATGCCGGTATTTCAACATGGCCGAATCTGTAGTTTTTTATATTGTGATTTGTGACTATCTATAGTTCATTATTTGGTTGGTACCTGTAACATTTTAGGAGAATGTGGAATATAAGAACGGTTGTGGTAAATGTGATTGCTGCTCACTGTGCAGTCTTCAGAAACACATTTCTGTGCCTAATTCAAGTTCTTTTTGTCCTTGCTTTTTTATGAATGTGTTAATGCTTTTTTTGTAGGCAATACCTCTTTGATTACAGGTGATATTTTAACAGCTGTAGACTGGAATTGAGTTTCAAAATTGTGGTATTTGTGGGGCCAACAGCCAAAATCAGGCTGCTGGTAGTTTTGGTTGGACAACGGGTGGCTGCTGGGTGGGGCGGTTACTGAAATTGCCAAAATGTGGCATCTCATGTAGGGGTAAGCCAGAATCAATAATGCAGGTTTTTTAGTATGCCGGTAATTTGGCGGTTTTTTGCTTGGGGCGTGGTAGTATGCCGGTATCCCAGAAAATTTTTGTGGGGCGGGGCGGTGCCGGTAGCAGCCCATTGGCAAAACTTTGCAACTCTAAAACTATGCTTATATATTCACACGTACATAGAAAATACACTAGCATGGCCTACCCGGGGGTACGGGGACCCGCAGTTGCTACTGTACACGAACCCCAAGTCTAACCGTCTGTCCTGTCCAGTAACAACCGATAACATTGATATCGACTGCCGGTTCCTGTACTAAAGCAGCTGAGGCTTTCAGTTTCTGTGCGTGCCCTCTGACAGCTTATCGTTGTTCCCTGTGAAGGTGCTGTGTCAATTTACTCAGGGTCACTGTACAGTAGCAACTGCGGGTCCCCGTACAGACAGATTCCTTTCTTATCCTTCACAAACACATTGCACCTGACTGGTGGTCTCACAGACATTGTCGGCCGCTCCTGGACTGACCATTGACTCCCGCCCCTTGACTCCAACCACCGATCACTGACTCAATTCACCATAGACTCCACCCATAGACTTTTGACTTCACCAATTGACTCGACTCATATACTCCGACCACTGAGCAATGCTGAGACCTCAAACAACGCTCTAGCCATATCCTGGCGTAAATTCCGAACAACAACAAAATAAATGGCAGCGATTAAGTTTCCAGGTAGCTGCCCTTATAGCTTAACAATCTTAACGAAAAATGTGCTTCAGCGACGCTGAGAGGTCATAAGAAAGTATCACGCAAATAGTATCTATGCAAAATAAATCCATACAATTATATCAGTACAAAAGCAACGCTGAATTCCACACACGTCATGCTAAGCTCTATCACTTTCTGGCCAATCAGCCTACTTCCGAGCTTCGTCAACTCACCAAAATTCATCCACTTCTTCGCGTCAAAAATAACCACCAATCGTACCACTGAGCAAGCAGATAACGTCGAGTCGAGCTCCTTCCCCAGCAGGGCGCCTACCTGGGGTGGACCGCCGCGATGTCATTGGTCAGTGAGCGTGTGACGTCACTGGCCCGAGGTCGGCTCAGCTGGCCTCTGAGCGGGTCTGCATTCGCAGCACGTTGTGCGCCTGCAGCAGCAGCGGTCGGTCGATCATGTGGCCGCCGAACGTGAAGGCGCCCTGCAAAACACGGAAGAACGTTACTGAATGGATAAACCAAAGCAGGGTTACGGTGGATGTTCAATTTCAGAACATCGTTTAAAATAAAACATGACAGAGAAATCTAGCAGAGAAAAGAAATCCCTGCCGGTGCAATATACCTGGGATGGTCAGCTACATTCAATTTCATTTTCTTAATATGTAGCTTATCATACATTCTAACGTATTCTCCTATTTGGTAGGTATGCCGAATATCACATAAAATCAACTACAACATTCAAAACGTAATACTAAAGTGGATCCACATCCGGCCCACGCCAGGGAAGACCCCACCCCCACCGCCCGGCTCCCGTCTCGCGCGCCGTTGGCCCACCTTTCCGGAGGTCTGGTGTTTCTCGAACGCCTCCACCAGGCGAGCGGCCCACTCTGCCCGCTCGGGGGAGGGTGAGAAGGCACTCTGCACCACCGGCACCTGGCCAGGGTGGATCACCTGCTTCCCCGTGAAGCCGAACTGGGCGCCTTCCTCCGACTGGCGCCGTAATCCCTCCAGGTCTGCCGAGAGATGGGAGGGACGAGGATAGTCAGCACGACACACGGTCAGTTAGGGCGAGGCACAGTAAGTTGGTGGGGACGAGTCATGGTAGGACGAGACACGGCCTATCTGCGATACGAAGCACGGCCAGCCAGTGGTACAAGGCACGGCCAGTCTTTGGGACAAGGCACGGCCTGTGGAACAAGGCACGGCCAGCCAGTGGTACAAGGCACGGCCAGTCGGTGGGACGAAACACGGTCAATGTCGGAGACAGGACATCTACGAGCCCATCTCACAAAACACTCTCAGTTGACACCCTGTTGGGCCCTCCCCGACTACTACCCCGGCCTCAGGGGTCACCTACCGGCGTCAGCCAGGTCTCACGGGTCAGACACGAGGCACGGCGACCTTGAGCGGCGCGGCCGGCGCGGCCCAGCCACAACACAGCTCAGCTGTCCGTCCGACTGCAGCGCAGTGGATACGTACTACCGGGCCCGTGCCGCACCCGACACCGACCCCCGGGTACGGGGTCAGCGCGGGCCAGGGCGGCAGTGGTCAGCGCCGGAGGGCCGTTGCGGCGGTGGTCAGCGCGGGAGGGCGGCAGTGGTCAGCGCGGGAGGGCGGCAGGGGTCAGCGCGGGAGGGCGGCGGTGGTCAGCGCGGGAGGGCGGCAGTGGTCAGCGCGGGAGGGCCAAGGCGGTGCTGGTCAGCGCGGGAGGGCGGCAGTGGTCAGCGCCGGAGGGTGGCGGCGGTCAGCGGGAGGGTCAGGGCGGCGATCAGCGCGGGAGGGTGGCGGCGGTCAGCGGGAGGGCCAGAGAGGCGGCGGTCAGCGAGAGGGCCAGGGCGACAGTGGTCAGCGCGGGAGGGTGGCGGCGGTCAGCGGGAGGGCCAGGGCGGCGGTCAGCGAGAGGACCAGGGCAGCGGTCAGCGCGGGAGGGCGGCACCGTGGGAGATCTGTAGGCACTGGCCCTACTGAGCGTGAAGAGGATACGAGATACAACGGGGGTCGGGGGATCGGGAATACAATACACTACCCAGACCAAAAAGTGTCCGACCTTGCACCCTAAGATATACATATCACCGAGATTGTTTGCCAACTTCGAGCTTGATCCTTGCGGCTTTTCACGTTTCACCCTAAGTGTTTTCAACTCCTGACCTGATTTTTTTTTTTGGAACAAGGTCGCAAATTTTGGATCGCGTAGAAAATGTAGAAGATGTAGCATCTACATCCTAAATTGATTATAAGATGATGAATGGTAGGAAAATCATGATAAGAAAAACAAATTGAAAATAATTTTGAGGCTAAACATTGAACTGCTTATAATAAAGTCTGCACAATGTCGTATAAGATGTCTGGTCTGTATCAGGCTTACGGTCGAAGTTCATTCGGTAATCCTCTTTTTCAATTGTTTGCGCCTTTAAATATAAAAGCTATATGTGAAATAAAGTACTGCTTTCTATCGCAGTGCGATCGCAAGCTCTGCAGCCTGAAAGCTTGATATGGAACAGACTATATGTAATCGCGTGCACAATTTATAAACAGCACTACACAAGAAACAAGCATATGCTCAACTACCTGGGTTGCACACGTCCAACAGTACAAATACCAGTCGGCCAGTTCTCAGTTCACATTTCGGCGGACCTCTCAGGGGTGAAAACCTGCTCCTCTTCACGTCTCCTCTACCTAACTCTCCTCTCCCTGGTCTCCCAGCCAGCTCCCTCTTCCTCCTCTCCCCGCCAAGCCCCTCCATCCCCTCCCCACCTGCCCCTCAGGTCTGCCGACCGCCGTCCCACAAGTGTCACCTTTGCCGCCGCAGCGCCAAGTTACGCAGATTGCCTGCGGCCATTTCGCGCCGCCCATGCCTCAATAAAGACCGATTTCACTTTTAAGTTAGCTGGCCTTTCGCACTATATAACCCACCTTTATAATCGATGTACACGACGTCTATGGCTTGCAGTTTGAATGCCTTGGCGATCATGACGAAGTTTTGTCGCGCGAACAGTAGTTCCCGCGCCTCCGAAGTGCGCGTGGCGCCTGCCAAAGGTCCGGTAGTGTCAGACCAGGGGTGAAATAAGGCCGCGTGACGACGGCCTGGTAACACAGAGAGCTGTAAAATGGTAGCGGGTAGGGGTGGGATTGGGGTAGCGACACACAAAGAAGGGCGATGGGCGGGCAGGGTGGGGCGGGGAAGGAGGGAGGAAGTCACAGGAGGTGATCATCGCAAGAGGTGTGATTGTGTTGGTTAACTTTTCGATGTTAATCCTCACCCGTAGCCGTATAGAAATATCGTAATTAGTACGATTACGAGTACGACCTACAACTTGTAACTTGTACTACCAACTTTCTGCCTGCACAGCAAATATAGCTCGAATGAAACGATGGCAGTGGTTCCAGGGTAATAAAGAGATACACCAACGCAAGGCCATGCAACACCAACGCTGCCCGCTCACCGATGTCAGCACAGAAGTCGTCGGAGCCGAATACGAGGCCATCTAGCGAGAGCGGCAGGTCAGACGTTAGTTCCAGCGTCCGCTCACAGATGGCTCTGAGGTTCAGCATTCCCATCGCCGACTCGGTAAACAAAATGAGATTCATCGGAGTTTTCATGTCTGCTGGCATGTGCTTTCGAAGCCGGTCGATAAACTGAAAGAAAATAGAAGAGTAACAAACGAAATCATCACTTTTATTTCACTTGTAGACACATCAACGCGATTGCTCAGGCTAAGCTAGAAGACAAAATAACCCAGCTGTACAATAAAGAGCTTTTTATTAACTTTCTCATATATGGAACACTTGGCGATGCTTCTCAGACTTTCATTGGTAAGCAGCCCTTTCATTGGCCCTTGCGCCGCAAATTTGCTCCTGGTCACTTAGTGTGTTTTCGTGAGCAAATCTTTGACCGAGGCGGCTGCAGAGTGCTCAAACCGTGTCCTATGTATTTACGGCGCGCATGACGCCAACAGGTGCGGCCGTTACCAGTCTGCCGTCATCAACTCACCCAGGTCACGTGTTCCACGGTGTCCACCTTGGGCAGGTGCAGCGTGTCGGGCAGGCGGCGCGCCGACAGCACGTGCTCCAGGTCCGTCTCGCAGTGGCCGCTCTCCACGCAGTTGACACGCACCGAGCAGTCCTTCCCGGAGAAGCTGACGCTGCCCGTGTGCAGCACCTCGCGAATGGTGCGTCGCGCCTCCTCCTGAGCGACCGAGGAGGGGATAGAGGGGCAGGGTCAGCGACATGAAGACAGAGAGGAAGGCTAAGGCACACCCAGACGGGCGATAAGCTCATGTGAAATACTGATGACTTTTAAAAGATGAAATGGAGGACAATTACTACAAAGTAAAAAGAACTGTTAAAACCAAAGTATAAAACATTCATGGGATATCAAAATGTTTACAACTAGACCTAGGCCTAAGCACATGACAAGGACACAAGTTTAACGACCAAAACAACTTCAAATTAGCATTAGCCACCTGTTCATGCACACTATCCCCCAATCACTGGCAGCGGTAATACTGCGCGGTCGTACCCACCTTCCGGTTGAGCGCCACTCCATCCTCGCAGTCGAGCACGATGCAGTCGGCGTCCAGCGAGGCAGTCTTGTCGATCTTCCTGCGGTCGCTGCCAGGCACGTACAGCACCGCCCGCCGCGGGGTGTACGGCTACCGGCGGCGGGATCGTCTCAGAAATAGTGATACGGCGGGGGGGGGGGGAGCAGCTCCGCGGAAAAACGAGCCTGTTGCCCCATGAGGAGAGGAAGCTGATGTTGCATTATTTGAAGGTCCTAGGTCATTGGTTGACTGTCCAGATCAATGACACAGAAGTCACGAAAATCGGGGTCTACTAGAACTTCTCCAAATTATGTTACTGTAACAAACTGTTTCTGATTTTTTGGCCTTCAGTGTCCTGATTTTAAATTTCAAGCCAATTTCGATCAAACATAATGTTTTCATGCACTTGAGGTAGGTATAGGTCAGATCAGGTCAGGTCAAGTTCCCGGCCAGTAGCCATCCTGCAAGTGCCAGCTATCCACAATAGTTAAAAACCACCACTGACAGCTTTATATTTTATAACATGTTGCATATTCACCAAAGCTTGAGCTAGTTCTCAAATGTTCAACTGGGTGCCGAAATTGAAATCAGCCCCCACCCAAGAAGAAAAAAAATACACTGAAAAAACTATACATGTAAGACTTGAAAAAGTTAACCAAGGGCATCTAGGATCAATGACCTTGACCTGACCCTTATGTGGCCTTAACACTGCCCATAATGCATGGGATAGCTTTCACATGTTGGCATATTTATAATTACAAAAGTTGGAAATGCTTATGCATGCCAACTGCCAACATACCATCAAATGCCAAATCACTATAGCAGACATGATCATGAGAAACAGGTCATAAGTCAAAAGTCATCAGGGCAGGGTCATATTGTTTCCAAGATGTGGAAAATTGAATAATCCAAGGGTACCTAATGGAAGTTTCAGGAAAAAAATCAGCCACCTTTTTATCTAATTATTAATGACAAACAGAGGGGAGCAGTCCCTCCTACCCCCTAAAGTGTGCGGGTTGAACTAGCTAAATGCTGACCAAATGCATCTGTACATCAATATCACTTGATGTCTTTATTCTACCGAACCTAAAAAATGAAAACTAAAAGCAAGACAAACCTTCAGTTGATCTTGCAACGAAGTTGAAGTTGAAATGAAATGTCGCTGAAACAAATGACTTGCTGGCTTGTCCCAAAGACATCTTACACTCTTGGAAATGCAACGCATCATATTCACAACAGTAATGTTATAAATCTTCAACTTCGTTTTGCCCTCTCTACCTCTAAAAAAAATGTCTTCCACACTTGTTCCAGTTCCACACAAATGTTTTCCAAAAACCGCCCCGCCGCCTACAATGCCAATGGCTTGGACAATGCTGAAGCATCTTGCTGTATTTTGTAGCAGTCGCGCAGTTTTTGAGTCGTCACTCTTTGAGAAGCAACAAGCAATTAAAAACTTTCGAAGGGTCTTCCTAGCTGTGATATTAGTAAGGCATACAAGCTGCGATATTCGTAAGATATTCAAACTATTCGCTGCATCCCAGTTCCCACCCTAATAAATGTACACTTTTCTCGAAAAAAGAATCTTGCTTTATTCGCCTATGTTTGATCCAGGATGAAATAGTTATCAAAGCCATGGTTCTCAAACGATGAAAACTGGACCAGGTGTTCCGAGCGCAGTTTTTCCGCTAGCCGAAGTAGCGTCGAGTACATACCTACATTTGGAACCGTCGCATCAATAAGCTTGTAATTGGAGATCGCAAATGATCAAAATAACTGAAAGATGGTACTTTATTTCCAAGCAGCATGAATCCAATGCCCTAAAGGCCAATTAGACTAGATATATTTGACAAGAAGCTTGCGCAAGGTGTAAATTTAAACCAAAATGAACCAAAATAAAACCACAAAACCAATAAAAACCAAGAAGCCGAAACTTTACCTACTTCACCATCATTTATTTACACCACAATGCATATGTAGTAACGAAACGGTAGTGGATACACTCATACGGCATACCGATTTTCTTATTCTTTTTCAGCAGGCATTTCCTTCTCCATCATCTCATTAGTCATTTGTCGCAGCTTAGCAAGAGCCTTGGCTTGTTTCTCCTTCTTCTTAGCTTCTTTAGCACGCTTCTTTTCCTCCAGTTCTTTCTTCTCTAATATCTCTTTGAATCGCGGGTCTTTTGAGTCCACTTTGAATCCGAGATATTCCTTGACTTCTTCAATCAGCCTATCGTGCTTCTCCTTCGCTGCTTGCAACTCCCTTTCCTTCTTCCGCTTTTTCTCCAAAATTTCTCTTTTCCACTTCTCCAAGTTCTCCATTTTTGCATCGACGGCATCCATCCTCTCCTTAATCGCCTCCTCCTTAGCCCGTTTCTCTGCTTCATGCTTTTGGACCATTTCCTGCAAAGTGTCTGGATAGGCAAGGGACTCATACTCCATCTTATCCTCCCACTCTTTCTTCACAGGCCACCCGACGGCCGGACTGATCCCAGTCTTGGTGCCGTACAGGGCCCAGATCCTCCGCTGGGCACGCAGACTTCTCATGTGCGCGGTCTCCTCGTCTACCACCGGCTGCTTGCCGTGGTACTTGCGGTAGTGCCAGTCTCGCAGGCCGGACACGTTGGTGTTGACGGGCGGCGCTGGCAGGCCGGCCGTCACCGCCGGCTGGTCGTCCTGGTCGGCCGCCGTGGAGACTGGACGAGAGGCGAGCCTCAGAGCCCGCCCGCACAGCCTCGGCACGCCACCAGCACGCACAATGCCCACGGGCACCATAACCGAGTTACTGGTACAACAGTCCGCAAATCAAGTCACAAAGTGACTAGTTCTCACCCAGCCTCAAAAGAAGGACCTTTTCATCAATGGTAGCCTGAAACAGAAAGAGGAAATAGCAGGCCAGTGTTACCAAGGCCATTCTTAACAACAGGAAAAGCACAATGTTGATGACCATGGTAAACCTTTGCAATGCCCTTCCCCATTGCAAATGCCAGAAGTGCTATGTCTTAGGTAAGCTACAGTGTTCTAAAATTGGATTTCGGTTGGGTGTGCCGATGAAGAAAAAAATCCTAGGATGCGAAAAAAGGAATTAAAAAACCGAAGTATATTTGCAAAACGGTGTAATGCCAATTTGTATGCCAACTGCCAAACCAGGATTTCATGTCAGAATCTTGACAGGGCGTGAAACAAAAGGATGTGGGTGCATCAACTGTCAAGTGACATGTAAACTGGCTGTTGGGAATACATGAAACTTTTTTCAGAGATGAAGTAAGTTCGGTCGTTCATATTTTAGGGATGAAAGTATTTTCCCCATTAGGTGTGATTTGCCACCAAAAAGTCTGAAAAATGGAACACTGGTAAGCTATGACAATCTCGACAGATCATTTCAATTTTGATGCCAATTGTGAGGAGTGATACAGGCCCCAGCATGGTACTGTGCTGAGCAACTGTGCCTGTGCAGCAAAGCCTGAAAAATAATATGCACACAGAACACATGACAGGGTCTGCCAGAAAAGATTTTAAGCTATTAGTAGAGCAGACGTCAACTAGGTTTTCCAACCAAGGAGAGGCGCCATACCCGGAGGCCGGGCCGGAGGTGCTTCTTTCAAGGAAAACCTAACCTAACCTACAACCTAAAAACCTACAACTTACAAACTGAAACCAACCTGAACCCTACAACCTACAAACCACGGTATATGCTACAAACCGGTGCTACAAACCTACAGCGCCTCTCCTCGGTTGGAAAACCTTCGTGTGACGTCTGCTCTACAAATGCCCTAGATTGTTCAGCCACTACCAACGAGCATATATTATGTGCTGCGGAAAGGCCTTACGCATTTTATCTATTTCTGCTGTATTTAGGGCCTTGTCTATTTCTATCTTCAACAATTTAAACCATTACAATTATGATTACCCAAGCACAAGCATGTCCTTCGTCACATAGGGGAGTATTCTCTTTGACCAGCAAACTGTCACCCACTTTTCGTCCTCTCATTCGCTGATAGTATAAGCAGGTTTTGTTTGACCAATGAAAGGCCGAGAAACGCTTACAAGCCAGCAGTGCACATCTACAACAGATTATTTGTCTAATATACTTCAATATTGTATTAGTGTTGAGCTTCCAAATGTGCTGCCATATTGCCAGTTTTCCTCCACGTTTCTTTTACGCAAGGGGCATTCCACGTCAAATCGAACAAAAATCGGCTGTTTTGCACCTTACCATCAGCGATTTCATTATAAATTTGTGAACGAGTTCCTGTGTGGCCCCGGACATTACATCGATGTTTTTTGCACATTCTGACCACAGGTCTTCTAAATATAGGGCATCAAATTTTTACAAAATGTTGCATCTTTATATTTTTGAACGACCATAACTTTGGTTGTACTTGTTTGATTTGAATGAAATAAACCTTACTGTTTAGGTAATTTCTTAAGCATTTGTTTAGAATTGCACCTACTTAAATATATGACCTTGAAATTTGCTTAACTCTGTTCTTAAGCACAAAAATTGAAATAGCAAAAAACACGTCACCTTCGATTTGGCTCATTTTCATATATTTCATTGCCTACCATATTCTTAACAACCTGTGAAAAAATTAAGGTGGGCCATTCATAAGTTTTGAAGAAAATTGCACATATGCAAACGTATGTTAGCACGCGCAGTGGAGGGGGAAGAGCGAATTTCGCCCACCTCTCCTGTTTTTCGCCAATATCTCATAAGATTAATGCGAAATTAATTATCGCTACCTGTCAAGAATTGAATTGGACATCTCATCGTGCAAGCAATAAGAAAATCGGTTCACAACTGTTCTAGTAATAGCGGTGTAAAGTGAACATCCTGTCGCCGCAGCGACGCGGCGACTCGGCAGCCGGCGCCGACCGCTACGCGCCGCCTGAATTGTAGACTGTGCCGGGACGGAACGGAACGGTTCCGTCTTTACATCGCGCTCCCTACCGCTGATTACGTTCGATTCGCGTCAAATTTTGTGAGAAGACTAAGAAATGTACAGGCAATCTTATGGTGAAAGAATTTTGAAAATCGGTTGGTAAACAATTGAAATATGAACGTGTAAACACAAAATTGTGATTGCTGCGTTTCCCGCATCGGCCGAGGCCGCCTCAGCCGGCGACATGTTACTCTTAGCAGGCCTCTAACTGCCATATTTAGGGCCTGTTCCAGCGCCTCCAGAAACCTCCAGAAAGCTCCAGAAAGCTCTAGAATCCTCCAGAGAGCGTTCCAGCGCCTCCAGAAAGCTCCAGAAAGCTCTCGCCAAAGCTCCAGAAACCTCCAGTAACTTCCAGAGAGTTGAGAGGTCCAAATTTCTCTGGAGGCTCTGGTCTACAATTATGGCGCAAATGTGACAATCACGAATGTAAACAAAGGACATTTGACTGATTATTTTACAACTTGAATGTAAAGAAAATTACATTGCTATAATTTTATTTATCTTTTTAACTAAAATTGAAAACAAGTTCTGCATTTCAAGAGAGAACAATCGTCATTCTTTTGGTATCTATGACGCCAATCTCCAGAAATCTCCAGATTGCGTTCCAGCGCCTCCAGTAAAACCTCTGGTAGAGCCTCCAGTCAAGAATTTCTTCTGGAGGCGCTGGAACAGGCCCTTTTTATAGGATTAACTAGAAATTCCCCATACATACTAAAAAATGTATTTTCTTTCGTATAGTGAAGATCAAAAGACGTGAAGATATCGTTGCGTGATAATGTTTTCGTTGAATTTACTTCATGATGCATTTCCACACGGCTCAAAATTCACCGCAAAATACCGTTTGCCTGAGACATTTTTACTATAAAACGTGAATGCTTGACTACGATGACTATGCATTTCCATTCTCGCAGAGTTTGGGAGATCACTAATCAGCAATCATTCATTTCAGAAAGTGTACACAAGCAAGCATGTCTTGACTCTGTCTTTCAAGGTCACGCGCGGTTGCGTGATGTTGATGAATGAAAACGGCGTTTGCCGCGAAAGTTATGAATGGCCCACTCCAATTTTTTCACAGATGGTTAGGAACATTGTGACGGACATAATATGTAAAAATTACCCAAATCGAAGGTGACGTGTTTTTTGCTATTTAAATTTTTGTGTGTTAATTCAAGGTCAAATGCATTTTAAGGTCACTTCAATTTAATTTTATAATTAAAAATCAAAGCCTTATCATTTGCCTTTAAGACCCTGTTAATATCATTTTGATACCAGAAAAGGAACCAGAGTTATAGCCATTTAAAAAATTGATGTGTGGCATTTTTCGCTATATTCGATGACCTATATCTCAGCGATACGTTATCAAATTTCGAAAATATTATACGTAACTCAGTTTTGAACCATGCCCAGTCTGCCTACAAATTTTCAGAAAAATCGAAGGGGATGACGGATTTCGGTGTTTGATTTGACGTGGAATGCCCCGCAAGGAATTCGCAGAACTTGAACTGAACGAGGGTCCACACGTGGTGCGTGCAGACATAAACATTTCATTGTGGGACTGTATAGTTATGTTTAAATGATAAAATTAAATCATTTTTATGCACTCTGCACTTATTCGGTAACAGTTCGCGGGGCTAGTAGGGGATGCGTATGTTTGATGTGTATTGTGTATCAATCCTATGCTGACCTGGGAATTTGGGAACGAATTGGAATGGGAAGGTATATATAGCCTTGGGGAAGGTGCCAATTGCCATTGATATCAACTGATCTCAATCTCACTGACATCTCAATCTCTTGACTCTTCAGCTTTGAAACAAAACATTTTGTCTGGTTAAGTTACATCAACAGCCAAAAGGGTACATATTGCGCTGGCAACAGTCGGGGAAAGTATGGTAAAATCTGCTATTTTTAGCAGTCTGCTATTTTTAGCAGAAATCTGCTAAAAATGGGTACGCATGTGACGTCATCGTACCCAAATATAGCAGATTTGGGTACGGCCCCATACAAAAGCAGATCTGCACCCTAATTAAAGCAAATGCGCATCAAATGCCTGGCAGATTCATGATGAGAATAGTGCTGAGAATGTCCTATGATATTTTTGTTCAGATCCGACTGTTTTCAAATAATGAATTTGAAAATAGTCGGATCTGAACAAAAATAGCAGAGATCACTCTCAGCACTATTCTCATCATGAATCTGCCAGGCATTTGATGCGCATTTGCTTCAATTAGGGTGCAGATCTGCTTTTGTATGGGGCCGTACCCAAATCTGCGAAATTTGGGTACGATGACGTCACATACGTACCCATTTTTAGCAGATTTCTGCTAAAAATAGCAGACTGCTAAAAATAGCAGATTATACCGTAAAATGGGGTGTTAAGGGACAGTGGGGTGTTAAGGGACAGTTGCATGGGAAAAACTTTGAGTCATATTAACTTCCTAATTTGAGAAGGTTCAATAAAAACTTCAGTGTGGTAGTTGACACTGTTTTGCTCTTGACCATAGGAGAAAATGGTATGGTTTTTCATGCAAGTGATTTGGTTCAAAAATGGATTTGAAAATCATGCTACATTTTCACAAAATTGAAACATCTCCAAAACTCTGTGTGTACCACATAAACTAGTGGATGTACAGGGAAAACACATATTTTTATATAAATATATATATAAACACATATTTTTAGTAACTATAGACCAATATCGTTACTTCCAGTTATTTCTAAGCTATTAGAAAAGATAATATATGCTCGTTTAAGCCAACACTTATTCTTGAACCAAATTATCAGTGACAAACAGTTTGGCTTTAGATCTGGCATGAGTACATACATGCCTATAGTGTTATTACAAGACAAAATCATAAGTGCGTTTGAAAGTGATTCGAACATGTGCGGCATTTATCTCGATTTACGTAAAGCATTTGATACTGTTGACAAGGAAATTCTTCTTAGAAAATTACTTCAGTACGGTATTTCTGAAGATGCCCATATGATGTTTCACTCATATCTCAGTGACCGTACCCAGTGTGTGGAAATAAATGGCATGCGTTCATCCTTCCTTCCAATTGATATTGGAGTCCCTCAGGGATCAATTTTGGGACCACTTCTGTTTATACTTTATATAAATGATCTCCCTTTGATATGTGGTGAACACATAAGTACACTCTTATATGCTGATGACACTGCTATTTTAATAGAAGGGGAAAGTGAGCATATTTTACAAACAAGATTAAATACCTTGATGCCAAAGGTAGCTGAATGGTTTACTTCTAACCAACTGTCTCTCAATGCTGATAAAACATATTATCAGATATACACGAACAAGAAACGACAACTTGAATTGCGAATCGAACTGAATGGTGTGATATTACAACGTACTAATACTGTTAAATATCTTGGTATTTTCATAGATGAGGATATGAAGTGGAGAACTCATATCTCCAAACTCCAGAAAGTACTGTCGAGAAATGTAGGTATTATGTTTAAATTGAAATTTTTCCTGGACAGTAAACATTTGTTATTACTCTACAACTCACTCTTTCTGTCTCACGTTAATTATTGCTGCTTTATCTACAGTAATACGTACATAACAAACCTAGGTGAATTAGACAAAATACAGAAGCGTGTCGTTAGATTAATAGACGGCCAATGTAGATTAGCGCACACTGCACCAATCTTCAAAAAATTTAAACTTCTTCGTATCCAGGACATCGGGCGACAACAGATGTTGTTACTACTACATAAAAAGATTCAAGGAATCTTACCACTTTCGATTGATGAATTATTTGAGAGAGTAGAACAAAATAGAAACAGTCGTTATAACAAACACTTCAAAGAAATATTTTCGTACAAATTATATAAAACACACACAATCTCATGGGCTGGTCCAAGGCTGTGGAATCAGATAATGGTCCCCGTTTACCCTGCTGTGCCTCTGGTGCCTCATTCAAAACACACAATAAAAAGACTAACAAAAAACTACTTTTTGAGCCAGTATTGATTATGTAATACAATACTCTCACATTAAGTATATTGTGGAGGTTCGTAACATTACGAAAACTATAAATCACATGGTGCACTATCATGATATCTTTACTCTTACCCCATGGTTTATTTTTCTTCACCATTGTTTTTATCTATTATTATTTTTATTATTATTTTTATTATTTTTTACTCTTATTCATTATTATTATTATTATTATTATTATTATTATTATTATTATTATTATTATTATTATTATTATTATTATTATTTTTATTGTTATTATTATTATTATTACTAGTATATTTTTTTTTTGTTCTCATTTCATTTCATTTCATTTCCCTCGCATACTCTACATAACCACTCATTCTCATGAAACTGATCTCCGTTGGTTGCCCAGCAACAAGCCTCGCTTAGCTGGGCAAAACAACGGAGATTCAGTAAATGACCCAGCTTGAACACTGACCAGCAGATTTGTATATAATACCCCTGAATGCATGATTCCCTTCATCTGAATCCTTCTAACACTGCTCCTGTGTGGATGTATGAACGAATGTGTACTCCTGGGAATTAGAAACTAGTCACTAACTGTTTTCAGTTATGACTACTATGCCTTCTCTTACACCTTTATACTAACAGCATGATAATGTGTCTCGTTTTTTGCTTCCTTGAGTTTGTTTCATTTCCTAGCTGGGAGTGCCGCGACAATTGTCTTCATTATTTTCCTGGTGGTGTTAACGTAAGGTTCTGTGTGTCGTTGGGATAGAGGGAGGGGGCACTCCTGGTCACCTGATAATGGGTGGCGGTGTAGAAAAAAAAAAAAAAAAAAACGAATGCATAGGTGTATTGTCACATGTATTGCACATGTTTCCTGAGGGGTGTTCACGGGCACCGCACACTGCTGCGTGCGCTGTGTGCGGTGCGTCCAGCAGGCGTGGGGGTAGGGGATGGGTAGGCGGTTCTGACGTCACGGCTGCGTGCGGTGGACGGTCCGCTGTGGCCAGTCCCGACCGGCCACAGCGATCGCTGTGTGCGGTGACGGAAGGCTGACGTAGGGACGCAGTGGGCGGAGCTTGGAGGCTGTGTGCGGTCCGACCGCACACAGGGCCCGTGAACAGCCCTCTGAAAAACTTGTGCAAATCCACCCATTCATTCATCATCCTCTTCCTCTTTTTCCGGATACATGCCCATTTTGAGGTGGATGTGGGGTGCTAAGGAACAGGGAAGAAAAAATAAAAAATAAAATCTGAATACAATTTAATTAAGTAGGCATGAAAAACACCAAATTCCACATAAAATGCTGGCAAGTTCATGCTTTTATCTCTAACACATCTTAAGTTATGTAACAAAACATCTCAACACTGTCTTTTACAATGATGGGTCAATGGAGACTGATGTAAGTAAATGTGATGTCATCATAAAAATGCTAAAACAAAGAGGGCAACATAATGACAAGTGACAAGCTTCAACATGGGTTTTTATTGATGACAGAAGATGACTTTTTGGTTCTGTTTACCTTATAATTAGCACATTTTCCACAAGCGTAAACTGCATTACACGTAATTGGCTAAAAAGGTCATTAGTGGTGAATGAACCTGACTTGTTTTGTGACAGAATATGCAAAACATTTCAATAAATAAATTGTGTGCCCTTCCACACCCCAATTGTGGGCATTTGATGACCATTTCTTGGAATAATATAGGTGTCCCTTAACACCCCACTTTGGGGTGCTAAGGGACAGTGATGAAAAATAATAAAAAATAATATGCAGGTATAAATCTTAAAAACTTTAATGTGGCAGGCATGTAAAGTACCAAATTCCACATAAAATGCTGACAATTTGATGCTTCTATCTCCAACCCTTCTTGAGTTATATAACAAAGCACCTCAAAACTGTCCCTTAACACCCCGTTTTACGGTACCATAGTTTCCCCGACTGGCAAGTCTCTGGCTCACACATTTTGATTTCACTATAGTTTTGATGCAGTGTTCTTAATATCATTGAATACTACCAGTATTACGCCTTTTGGGGCGACTAACGGAGCGAGCGAGAGGGTGGGCCTTGCACGTGCAAAATTTCGAGGGGGTACCTCCAACTGACTTGTGCACTGCACCCTACTAACCCGTCTCTAGCGATGTGCCAAATTTGAGCACAATCGGCCCAGCCATTCTCGAGATCTGGAAGCGGCACCCTGCACGTGCGCACATGCAAAGTGGGTACCAACCGACTTGTGCACGGCACCCTACTAACCGGTCCCTAACCGTGTACCAAATTTGAGCGCAATCGGTCCAGCCGTTCTCGAGATCTGGAAACGACCCCTGCACGTGCGCACGTGCAGAAGCACCCCAACTGTGGCACATGGATATGCATTGCCTAGTGGGTGCCTACCTGCATGCCAACTTTCAGCGCAATCGGCCCAGTAGTTACCGATATATTGCAACTATTACAAAAGTGACACCTCTTCGTTTTACACGTGGCACGTGCATAAGGGGTCACCCACATGCATCGAGAATCGTCCAATACTTGGTAGAAGGAATGAAGCTACCCTACAAAAATTACCGCATGTAAATCGGTCAAGTGGTTGCTGAGATATAAGCGTCGCAGAATCGTGACCACGGCCGGCCGGCCGCTCATACTCAGAAATTTCCGTTATTCTACGTAAGACTCCGCTCGCTTCGCTCGCTCCGTAATCATGCTTTTTGGTTGTTACGAAGCCCCATTGGCATGTTTTGTGACATTTTTGGCAGAGCTAGACTTGGAGCCTCACAACAAACTATGTAATTGTAACTGCGGCTTTTGGCATCGTATGCTGGCAAGATCATAGTGTATTTGATATAAGTTCTAATAATTTTGAATGCTTAGCTTAGAAAGTACCTGTTTATTAGCTTATTTAGCATAGGCGTGTTTTTTTCAACGCTCTGCCAATTCTTTGTCATTCAGCAGGTTGCCTATAGAAACTTATAGGGCTACTTAACAAATATATGCTTACTCATGTTGAGTAATTACCTAAGTTTCACTCCATGGGTTGATGCAACACGAAGTCAAGCTCTTTAAGACTGTAAGCAGTTTTATTTTGACTTGTGTACCTGGTTTATATCCCTGCACAAATGCTTGAAACATTTATAATGGGCTGTTATGCTGCTGGCTGCTTTAAATTAGATGGTAGTGAAAGTTATGTGCATGGCACATGATCAGCATCAGCTAGCAAAATGTCAGGTTGAAGCTTTTATGAAGCAAACTCCATGGCATTCAGACCTGACTCTTTTGCTGCTGTTGTTGCTGATGTTGGTTGTTGCTGCTGTTAGTTGTTGCTGTTTTTAAACATCCTTTTGTCTGTCATCCAATTGTCTTGTTCTCATATGAACATTACTTACCTTTTGCAGATTATTTTCTGTTTGTTATGGAAATGGACTCTGCTGCTGCAGCGCCCCTGGCGCCCGACGACAGAACTAATGGAGAGGCAGCGCCTCTGGCGGATGGCGGCGGAAACGTCCCGGATACGGACGGCTACTTCAGCAGCTATGAGAGCTTTGAGGTGAGTGACCACGTCATGCCGCGCTGTGCCGCGCTGAAATTCCCACAACGAACGTCCGACCTGGCCGCGTCGCTGGCGATCCCAGCGTGTGTCGGCCCGGGCTGTGGCCGGCAGCGATTTCAGATCGACGATCGGCAACCGGTCGGAAGTGCGACCTCCCTGGCTTTTCACTAATATATCAAGAAGTAGAAGATCATAGTGCTCATAAAAACACGATTCTTGGCACGATTCTTGAGATGCATGACTATTAACCGCTCGTTTGCCGTAATTCCGGTGTCAAGGTTGCCTGCCCACTGCCCAGTCGTGAATTGTCTGTCTCAACTCACGCTAGTCATGCTATGACAGATCGGATTTTGTGCCGGCCAGAGGCGAGCGTTGAGACGGTTGCTCATTTGGCAAGGTAACTTTTGGTCCAGCAGGCTGTGGTCACGTGGTGTATTGATTCGCACGGAAGTGAAGTGAGAACCTTCGTGTTTTTTTTTCTCAGTAAGAGTCGTATCGTTTTATTGAAGAGCTGTAAGCCATCTCAGTCACATTTGGGGTTTTAGAAAGTTCGTTTCTTTTCAAATGGTTTCTGAAGAAGTGCGAGACCTATTCGTTTTGTTAACACTCCCCGCTGTCACACCATGCCTTTTCAAGCATTTGAATAACTCGTTGAAAAATTATTGTTGTTGCATTTTTAAGCGTGGCTAAGTGGACATTGCAAATTCTCCTATAGACTGTGCATAGCCCGAATGCTTCTCTGTGGTACAGCAAAACATATGTGCTATCCCATTTTTGCGACCATGTTATTTGGCACTTGTACTTCATTGTAAAATGACTGTTGTTTTTTAGGCTCTTAAAGGCTATAAGCCACATTTCAAAGCGTCAAATGTCGCTGAATTGGGCAATGCGCGAATGTCGACAAGTTGCAGTTAAATTGCCAGCGGGGGCCCGTGCCTTGCACAATTAACGTTTTTTTATTGTAACACGTAATTTTTAACACAATCAGTGAAACACTGTGTGAAACCGAACCCATTTTGTCGGCCGAACATTGCCCGCCTTTGTTGGTTGCGCGCTAGTGCGTGTGTGAGTGGGTGGAGGCTGGAGTGGGGGAATGGTTGCATTCAGACGGCGAACAGAGACTGCCAAGTACGGCCTTGCTGTCAAGGCTACATTCATATGCTTGACACGGAATAGTATAATTTATTTTCCTGACACGTACCACGAAAATTGAGACACTTCCACGTCCGTTGGTGCAAATGGACTCGACTTCAATCGATTTTCGTGCGTGCGATCATGCCACTCCGCCCGCGCACTGATCATCAGCCTCTTTGTCAGCAACAGCGACAACATCAGACAGCTCGGTTTTCACCGGACTCGCTGTCGACAACTCATACTGGAGTAGCGTTTCGCTCGGTGTCGAGGTAGCTGCGGACCCCGACTTCTGTTCCCATGGAGACAAAAGCCATTAGACTGCATAAATTGCCTTCCCAACAACGACAAGTTGGCCACATCTGGGCTGACTGAATGCGTGCCGGCCATTTTTCTCGTCGCGACGCTTCTTCTAGTTAACTCGTCTTTATTTTGCAAGACCATGTGCAATGTTTGGTTCAAAATATTATTATTTTCTTCTTCCAGACCGGGCGTTTTCCGAAGTCCCACAGGGGAAATGTTCTTTCCTGGGAGCGAGTCAGCCATTAGCGATGTTCTGGCAATGGTCGTGTGTTTGAGTGGTGGTGGCTCTTGGCGGCAGGGGGACTATATTCTTACCGTTTGCCTCCGTGTTATCTCAGCTCCTTGTTGTGTAAGGAGACTCGAGCTACTAGGGCAAAGTTTCGAGCCAGGATAGCTTACCGTCAGTGTGCTTGTCTTATTGTGTATCAACGAAACACTTTACGGACATTGATGACAAGACAAAATGCACGAAGTAAAACATTCCATTTGGTATTACCATGTATTACTATGTATTACCAAAAGGTATTAGGTACCTTCACCCGCACCCCGTAGGGGGGGGGGGCGGCCCTTCTTGTCCTTTTCAGTCGATATCTCCTAAACGGCTGCAGATATCGTCACCAAAGGAGCCCTCCGGGCATTAATTTTACACATTGTGACCAAAAAATTCCAGAGGCTATGATAGGTTAGCCTCAAATTCAGAACAGAAAAATGTTCAAGACATAGAAGGTGTAGAATTAACAAGGCTACAAGACTGGTATCTCGGATTTTTGTAAAAAAAATATTTCGACCCCTAAAAATCAAGAAAGTAACTTTTTGGATATAATAGCCAAAACATATCAAAAGTTTTTTTTCGAATTTTGAAAAAACGGAATATATATATATATATATATATATATATATATATATATATATATATATATATATATATATATATATATATATATATATATATATATATATATATATACCTAACCTAACCTAACCTAACCTAACCTAACCTAACCTAACCTAACCTAACCGATACCTCTTTTTTGCCAAGCATAGGGAAAACACTGGTCAAAATTGATGACATCAAATTTTCAAACTCATTTTTTAGCAATTTTTACCATGTAGCGCAAAACGAAGACCGCCATTAGACTCCCCGTGACGAGCTGCATCGAATCGATACCCATTTTATGCAAAAATATCAACTTTGAAATTTGACCTAATTTGACCTGACTTTGACCTGACCTTCATCAGAACATAACCTTAACTGGCCCCAAAGGCTGTCTGACCCACATGATCTCATTTGTCATGTAAAATGGACCATAAAACATGCATCAGACGACACTCGTATTGTGACCCTCATTGACCTGACCTCTGTGACCTGTCACCTGACCTGGTATCAATGACCTCAATAAGCAAAATATGTGTTTTACTGACAATGCCCCCATCTATGATTTGCAAATAACATGCCTTTTACTCGATTTTACAACACATTTCTTGAAATGCCTGTAAACGGTGAAAATTCTACCTTTGACCTGACCTGTGACGTCATCGATTGGACCGATGTCAATGAAGCTGGGTCACAAGGTAGTGCCGTGGTAGGGCTATCCAACGCCGTTTGAATTTTGAAACTCGGCCAGTAACTTCCCGAGATCTTGGGGGGGGGGGGGGGGCGAAACGCCCCCTACGGGTGGTAGCGTCCGCCGATAGCTCTACGGGGCGCGGGTTAAATGTTTGCTATTAGATTTTCGGTTGCATTCCTTTGAGGGGAGTTGTCATGTTTTTACAGCGAGATGTTTTATAGCACGTTTTAATGGGATGCTAATCGATGCATCGGGCATTCTTTTCCTAGAAAGGATATAGTACACCAAGGTGGTACAATGGATATTGCTGGAAACGGACGATTCTCCATGAAACATTCATGAGGCTTTATCATTTGCAAATTGCACACGATTCATACAAAGGCACAACTGTCGTAATCATTGTTAATTTCTTTTTACGTTAAGCTGCTTATAATCTAAGTGGTTACGACCTTTTGCAATGTCGTGGATGGCTCATGGCATTTTCTGGGAAAGTTTAATGCGTTTCATAATGCGACCCACATACGGGCTTTACCGACCTCGATGTAAATCAAAGTGATTGCGAGTTGCGACGGTGCCTTTTGCTGAACTTTGCAGATATGCCGTTTTTTTTTTGCCAAGCCGTTTTGATAAGCACTGCTGCGGCATCCGTCAATAAGGATAAGTTAAACAAAAAAGGGTTTTTAACGTTCTTGTAATCCCATAGCTCCATCTTGTTACCGTCGCCTGTCAGCATGCGTCGATAACTTCGACCAAAGCGACGGAAAGCAGTGGATGAGGTCTAAAATGCTCTCTTCAATCATAAATTTTTACTTTGCCATCACTGTTTGAATGCAACCGCTCTTTTAAATTGTTCAATGAGGGAGTCTAAGATTGATTGAAATGAACTTCTGTTCGTATGTTTGGCGTTTATATTTGTGATGTTACCTGTTTTTGCTGGAACTTTGTGTCTGTTAAATGCATACATCTCTTTCATTCTCTCACCGACTCACTGTTTTTCTCCCCTCCTGCCCTCCCTAACACCCACACCCACCTAGGGCACCCACCCACCTCTCTCTCTCTCTCTCTCTCTCTCTCTCTCTCTCTCTCTCTCTCTCTCTCTCTCTCTCTCTCTCTCTCTCTCTCTCTCTCTCTCTCTCTCTCTCTCTCTCTCTCTCACTCACTCACTCACTCACTCACTCACTCACTCACTCACTCACTCACTCACTCACTCACTCACTCACTCACTCACTCACTCACTCACTCACTCACTCACTCACTCACTCACTCACTCACTCACTCACTCACTCACTCACTCACTCACTCACTCACTCACTCACTCACTCACTCACTCACTCACTCACTCACTCACTCACTCACTCACTCACTCACTCACTCACTCACTCACTCACTCACTCACTCACTCACTCACTCACTCACTCACTCACTCACTCACTCACTCACTCACTCACTCACTCACTCACTCACTCACTCACTCACTCACTCACTCACTCACTCACTCCCTCCCTCCCTCCCTCCCTCCCTCCCTCCCTCCCTCCCTCCCTCCCTCCCTCCCTCCCTCCCTCCCTCCCTCCCTCCCTCCCTGTATCAAATACTTTCAGTATCCTGGCTGTGCTTCCGCCTTTGAACCTAGACAACTGAAGGCTCCTTTCTATAGTGACGGCCTAGGACCTCGTACTCCAGTGTGTGGGCCATGTCGGCGGGTAAATGGCAACTAAATTGAATTAAGGTAGAGTATTTGAACAAGATTAAAGGAAATATGACAGGTACATCAACATCAAGTAAGTGACTTTAAACTTTGAACTGAACAGTTTTCCAATGTAGTTGAGGCTGTTCGCATATTTCATGGGGACAGCATATATTAGACCTACACTTTTACAGGTCAGTGAGTCGTATCGTATATTATCGTCTTTTTCCGTTTCAATATTCTCTCCTGTATTTCTCCGGTCTGTATTCACTGGATGCATTCTTGTTTCCATCACCTTTTACGAAGGGTTTCTGCTTGTTTGTAATGCGATACTCCCATTTATGAGCACGCGATACAAATTACATCGTGTAAGCAGCCCGCCCGTGGTACATACATGCTTCAAAACGTGACTGGTTAGAGGTTCGAAGCAATGCCCGTACCATCTTTTGGGTTGCGGTGTGTGTGTTGTGTGTTGTGACAACTACCTGGGTGCCAGAGGCATGTCAGTAAACCTACAGAACAAACCATCCTGGAGCCGTGATGCACCGTTACTACTTACTACCATTTGAACCGTGATCGCGGTTCAGTGGTTTCAGCTGACACCGAGCTGTGGGTATGAGTTGCCACGCCGTGTGTGGTTCGCTTATGATCGTGAAATACAATAAGATAATTTGTACACCGTGCCGGGTACGTTTTGAATTCGTGATGATGCTCCTCCCGCCAGTCCGCCGCGCGGGTCTCAGGTGTTGGCCGCCGTCCGCCGTTTTGCCGTGCCTAATGGCGCCTCCGATGTCGAGAGCCGGCTGTCGGACGGTCCGTGGCGGTCAAAGGGACTCGATGGGATTAATGACGTCATCAGTCAGCTATATCAGCGCCCGGTTCGGCCGAACAGACTGCCGAAGGAGGTCAGCAGGGTCACAGAGGAGGGCGGATGGCTGCGGGCGGCGCCAGTGGCCGGGCCGATACCGTCTGACTTATAGAGCTGTGCGCTGTGTCCGATATTCGATAAGGCTTTGTTCAACCATTTTAGCCATTATTCGGCCTATTGATATGTTGTCGTTAGTAGGAACCTGTTGAATATTAGTGGTTTTAATATTACATTAACCCTAGAGCTGTAAAACTTGCGCTCGTGACAAGAACAGACTTCGAGTGAGGGCAGTTTGATGGAAACGAAATATGAAGCGACTTTTTGTTTTACGCACAAGTAAATAAACTGGAGCTTCAGTTTTGGTTTTGAAGACTCATTTTCCCTTAGTCAACGGCTTCAGAAGTAGGGAGTAAGGACGCAGGTAGAATTGCAACGAGCATTAACTCCCAAGATCAAAAGAGATCTATCTCTCTTAATTCCTTTATTTTTGAAGGATGTTGTCCTCACTAGCGCGGGACGCAGCCGTGGGCGTCCAACGTATTCGTACAAAGGCTGACGATTTACAAATGACTTGTTTTCACCGTCTGCTGATGGTTTCGCAGCCTGCTGCCGCCCGGCACATCTGGTCCCCGACTTTGACCGGATTTGGTAAAGCCGGCTGGCTTGCGTCGCGCTAGTTGCCAATTGTTTAGCCGTGCCAGTCGCCGCCGCGCGGGGCTTCCGTTCGTCCGCAGGATGCGCTAATAATTGTCAGCTCGCGGTGACGCTAATTGCTGTGGAAGTGCCGGCCGCTGCCCTGCTGAGGAGGCTTTAATGAGCGCGCCGCGTGCCTGCGTCCTGCTCTGCCCCGGCCCAGCGCGGCCCAGCGGCCGGACGTCCCGCTCCAGTACGGGAACCGGTCAGGTATTAACGCGTGATTCTTTCGAATGTGTGATGCCCTGATTTGACCAATTTATCGCCAGGGCGTTGTCAGGACCAGGCTAGGGATCAAAGACGTGTCTAATGTAGGTACTATCAGTATTATAATAGAGCGAGTGTTCACTGTTTTGATATATCGTGAGGCATTCTAACCTGATTTTTTATCGCTTCGGTAAGAGACCTCTGAGGTCCAAACTACCTAGCGAGATAAGGTAGAATCGAAATAAAGAGACCATGCAGAGGTCTCTTGATATAGAATTCATATAGATTCAGAGAAGAATTGACATAGATTCGGAATAACTCACGTCCGTACCACCCAGCTCCGCAGCCCACGCCCGGTTCATCGGTGACATTCAACTCCGACTAATAATCGAAGGCAAAGTTACAGCGGAATGATGAAACAAAACTACGCCTGTGTTGGCTTCTGCCTGACTGGTAATGCCCAGCCAGCGAAGCAACCGTAAGTTTGCTTTTAAATGCCCGTGAGCTTCCATACACTGATGCAATTGCGGTGTTTAAATGTATCTCATCGCACGCTCCAACATATAACACAATATGAGAAGCACATCAAACCGTGTACGCTCGAGTGTTGTGGGCCGAGTTTGGTCGATTCGCCTCCTTCGCGGGTAGTTGAGAGTTTAAGTAGCGTGTGGGTCTTCCCATTACCCGAATGTGACTTTGAAATAGGACGTTACGGTTCGTTGCTGAACGGCTGAACGCTACAGACCGGCTCATGCTGCACCTGTGTACTTTTCGCGCTGTCGGTGTCTTCAAAGTGGTGTAGAAAGGATGCGACGTTGCGGCGTTCCCTTTGACCCCGTATTGACCACCGGTCTTGAGGTCGGATGTGTCAAACACCGCAGTGAGCTCAGTTTGCACTGACACCACTCACATCATGTGTAGTCGTTATGCATGCAGAACGTTCGGTACTTCCGTGGCTTTGAAGCTTTGACTTGGTAAGCACGGCGAAAGGCGCGGACGTGTGCTGCAGTTTGCATTGCGCATAATGCACCACAGCCGTCTGCGACTGATCCGTCCGCGCTGGTTAACAACCACCAGCACCAGACGTGTTGGGCTGGAGCCATCGCCCCCGCGCGGCACCGACCGCCAGCGTGAATCAAGTAGTTTGGGCGCTGCCGCCAGCCATATTACCGCATTACCGTTAACCCAGCGCACCTCTGCCGATGGCGTCAGGTGTCCTAGCCGTCAACAACACTCGGATCGATGTGCCGCTCGTCGCGGCGGCGCTTCGGCCATCCGTCTTGGCGAGCCGACGTGCGTGCATTACGTGCCCCCGGACCTGTGAATCATACAGTGCGATTAGTTGTGGCCGGCGGCGGACGCCGCGGCTGTCTGTTACCGATGTGCCGGCCCGTGTGTCCCTGGCGACTCAGTCGCATTTGTCCGGGACGTTTGGGGAGTGGTCGTGCGGCGGACGGCGGTCGTGCACGGAAATCCCCGGTGGGGCCGGTCAGGGTCGCGGCGGCCACGACGGCCTCTGTGCCCGCAGCGGTCAGAAATACTTGTTGCCATGACCGCGCGGCTTACATTGCAACACTTGTTGGCGACTTCTTTTACGTTGTGATGTCCTACAGAACAGTCAACTTGAAAACGCCTGACAATTTACGTTGCCGTATAACCAGGGCTGCGGAGTCGGAGTCGGAGTCGGTCGGAGTCGACAATTGTGACCGGAGTCGGAGTCGGAGTCGGAGTCGATTTAAGAAACCCGAGCCGGAGTCGGAGTCGGAGTCACCGAAAATCTGTCGACTCCGCAGCCCTGCTAGGTCTGCGGAGTCGGAGTCGGGAGTTGGAGTCGGTCGGAGTCGACAATTCTGCCCGGAGTCGGAGTCGGAGTCGGAGCTGGTTTTTGAAAGTCGGAGTCGGAGTCGGAGTCGGAGTCGCCGAAAATCCATCGACTCCGCAGCCCTGCGTATAACATCCCGTCAAATAATTCATTCGCCAACGGCATTGCTTTTTACAGGGCATTAAAAACATATGTTTATTAGTGCTAATAATCTGTTTTGGCTCTGAACCGTGTTTTATTTCCTCCGTCAGTTGGGTTGGAAAATATGTCGAACATTTTCAGGGGTAAACTTTCCCAGGGAATTGCGAAGATAAAAAGATCCGAACTTGTAAAACATTTAAAGCAATGTAAACAGCACGAATTCCAAGAATAGTTCAAGACCCATCAGCAATCCTAGCTATTCCAATAAACCGGCACGACACCTTAGTGTTACCGCCTGCTCTTGGTTGTTTGTGTTTACCTTCGTCTGTGATCTGGGTAGGATGATGGGACTGGCGATATGTGTTTGGTATCATAGCGCCGCGTCTAGAGGATCCATTAGTGCGACAGACATATTATGTAGACAAGCGGCGATATGGCTCGCTGGAGGGCGGGATAAAAAAGTGCAGAGTGGGACGGCGCCAGCGGTGGGCAACTAAGACTGGACAGGGCGGGACGGTGGACAGTGGACGGAGCAGTCTGATGATTACATCTGACACATCTCTTCTTCCATAGGTGCACCGTCTAATGGTGGGTGACAAGCCGCGAACGGAGGCGTACCGAGCGGCCATCCAGGCCAGCCGCCATCTGTTCCAGGACAAGGTGGTGCTCGATATCGGCGCCGGTACAGGTCAGTCGCCAGGTCACAGAAACAGGTCACGGGAACAGGCCACAGGTCAGGTCTTAGGTTAGTGGGACAGGTCAGTGGGACAGCTCACAAGTCAGGGACAGGTCGCACTTCGCAGGTCAGTGGGGCTTTTCACAGGTCAGTAGGACATGTCGCAGGTAAATGGGCTAGGTCACAGGTCAGTGGTGTGGGTCACAGGTCAGTGTGACGGGTCAGAGGGGCAGGTCAGTTGGACTGGTCAGGTCAGCGGCTGACCGGGTCACAGCGCTGCTGTCCTCTGCTATGTCCCGACATGGTGAGAACAGACGCGGCGGGCGGGCATGGACTGGCCGGGCGAGGCGACGACGGCTTTTTGCTAGTTTGCTTTTAATCGAAATGTATTGATGTCTTTTTCCTTTGCTCGATTTGATTTGATATCATTATATTTATACAATGGTGAATAGGTATTTGGAATTAGTTTTTACTCCACACGCTTCCCATAAGCAGCTGTTATTACAACAGGCACTGTATTTGTCTGGAATACCGTAACAACCCATCGCGGTCGCCGCTGCAACAATCCAATGCGCTCGCCCACGCTCGCCCATTAAAAACTGCAGCGCTGTCGATGCCTTCAATCTGCCGGTCTGTTTACATTCGATTCCACGGCTCGTTGCCGATTCAGTTGCATTCAATATTGCAGTCTGTGCAAGCACACCTTCCGGCAGCTACCTCTGCGCTATATCCGGCTCGGCACACGCATCGTTCCAGTGTATTCGTTATAACGCTCTATTGGGCGTGCCCATTGGTCGCCTGGCCAGTGGGCATAGCCTCGAGGCTCGTCTCTTAGCCGCCGACGGTTATGTTTTTCTGTAAATGGCCCCTTCACGTGCGCGGCTGCGGTCGCTCAATGGGCGCTGCTGTAATTGTGTACCGTCCGCCGCCAGCGGCCGTGGCCGCGCAGTGTTTATGTATGTGTGTCTGCATTGATCTGCAGGAAAGACTGCACATCAGGGAGGGGCGGGACTGTAGGGAATTTGTGCGTGTTTCGACGGCTGGATGGGTGTTGACTTTATGCTGCCTTTATGTTGGTAATTGCATTGTTTACACAATGCAATTTTTGCTATAAAGAAAATGGTAAACACGGCTTGGTATTTTCTTTTCTTTTCAAAAGGCATACTGTACCATCATTTTGGCCAACAATGACTCAATAACTGAGGTAACTGAAACGCTATTGGTGCTTTGTATAGCCCGGCTATAGAAGCACCTAACCTTTATATCCGGCACAGAAATCAAACGACCGAGACTGGCGGATCAACAGCGCGGCCAGGGGCTGAAATGTGGCCGAGGCTCGCCGCCTGTGGTGGCAGCTTGTGTGTGTGTGGAAATGCGACCAAATCTTCTCGGCACTCCTACTCCGGAGAATTTCGACCAGCGGCCGCAGCTGGCTGAATTCTAAGGCGGTCCCAATCCACTGGCCTGCTCTGGTCAAGCCAGTTCGTCCGCACTGGTCAGTCTGGTCAGAGTTTGCCAATGGGGGAGCATAGCACCATTTCGGTATGATACGCTCCAACATTTCAGTCTCGCCTAGAAAGCCAGGGCATCTCGCCCGCCGTATGAATAAACGTCAGCTTCATCAGCATTATGTCACGATTTCCTAATAATTGAAGGCAGTCATTGCACCATATTTCTATAAGTCTGAACTATTATAAGAATACATTTGACTGCAAGAGAACTGAGAGATGACTCGACGTCTTTGATATCGTAACACGTTCACATTCTCGCCCTCTCTTATTGAACACGCTTGCACACTCCCCCGCAGTGGGAGCCGGATCCGTCATTTGCAAGCCTGTCAGTGAACTCGGGTCTGATCGCGGATTCGTGTGAAGACCACTCTGTCGGAAGTTGCGGCGTCAGGTGGGCGTCAGCCGCCTCGGCTCCCTATGCGATCGACCGGCCACAGACGCGGGCCGGACGGCTCACTCGACAGCCGGAGGGCGGGACGGGACCGGTCGGCCGTCACCCGCAGCGAGGCCGAAATCGCCGGACGCTGGTCGGTGGCGACTGTGGCGTTGAAGTGATGGAGAACCGGCTGAACATGAGCTGCGCAATGCGCATGATGCTTTCCTCATTGTGGGGAGTGGGGACTTATTTCTGTCCTCTGTAGTTCGCTACCGTCATATTTTTTGCGATTAATAATGTATCAAATAATAACTTATTGTTTGATGCGTGTTGACGTAACTTTTCTCTCGTAATGGCTGTTTGCACGTCTGGGGACATGCTCAGGCTAAAAGGAACACGGCACCGAGTGCTGCCTTTTTGTCCGTCGGACAGCTGCCGTGTGCTCCCAGATGGCTGGCTCCTGGCGACTTTCTGTGTCCGCTCGTGTCCGATGTCGGCGCTCACTCGGACGTCCGGTCGATAGTTTTTCCCGTTCGTCTGTCGGAGCGACGAATGAGCGCAATCCGAGTCGCAGTCTGTCGTTCACTGCTTAAGCATGCTGGCAGTTCCCGCTCGCTCCAAAGTCGCTTCCGATCCAGCTGGCAGCCGGGTCGTTTTTCAGCGGCCGGCGGTGCGGTCGTACGTTGGCTCCACTCAGCGCGATTGGGGATCGGCCCGGTCACTAACGGAGCCGACGACTCGACGGTGTGGGCCGACGGCGCGCGCGTGAATCACGCCCGGTCCGGACCCGTCGGCCGCCGTTCCGGGGTCGGACCGGCGGGGTTTATGACAATGTCAGGGCCGTCGTTTATCGGCGAGGTGTCTCATCCCGACTCGGACAGCGGATCGAATGGATACTTTAGCTGCCGGATTCGGAGCTGAATCCCGCTGATTCAGAATGAACGCTCGGCATTCGGACTCAACAGGTCCATCAATCACCTCTAATGAAGGGCAGTGGCATTGTCACAGTACTATTGATTACTCAAGTCATGTGCTTCTTTTGCCAGCTCATATGCTCATGATATGCTCGAGCAATGTATAAATTGAATGTTTTTTTTCTGCGGGAGCTCTCTCTCTCTCTCTCTCTCTCTCTCTCTCTCTCTCTCTCTCTCTCTCTCTCTCTCTCTCTCTCTCTCTCTCTCTCTCTCTCTCTCTCTCTCACACTCACTCACTCGCCCCTCTGTCCGTCTCGCAGGCATTCTCTCCCTGTTCGCGGCTCAAGCAGGAGCGCGACGAGTCTATGCCGTCGAGGCGTCCGGCTTTCACGAGCTGGCGCGTCAGAACGCCGAGCGGAACGGTTTCGGAGATGTGGTGCGGGTGGTGCACGGCCGAATTGAGGATGTGGCGCTGCCCGAACAGGCCGATGTGATAGTCTCCGAGTGGATGGGCTTCTACCTGCTGCATGAGTCCATGCTCGACTCGGTCATCGTCGGCAGAGACAGGTCAGTGTCGCCGGTGACATGGTGGACGTAGATGTCTCGTTTACTGTCCTCGCCTTACTGCCTGGTAGCATTCTTTTTTATTTACAAAACTGCGAATAGCTCGAAGCAGTCACCCGGAAATCATAACACAGAGGCTCACGATGCTTTACCCTTTCGATTGGGTCATCACTAAACAAATTTTCCGTTCACTTTGGCAAGAAAAAGCAAAAGTTTGTTTTGGGGGCACTAATACAAACTTGGGCCTTATTGACTGGACAGTTTAGACGATGAAGAGCCCAATCTTAGGAGCGAAGTCTCGCGCGTCTTAGTTCTATGACATGTACGTGATCGATAACATGACATCTGAGTTATTCTCGGTTTTGTCGAGTAAAGAATGTCTACCACGCAGTGATACGAGGGTTGTACAATGTACATTTAATGTTAACGCCGCCAAAATTTGTTATCCATTTTTTCGCCTGGTTAAGTTACGTAATAAAAGATGTTTCATAAATGCTTATTTTCTGGACTTGTGCTAAATGCTTTTATTATTGTTTTGCGCTCACATAGCAACAGTTTACACCGCTTTATCACCTGTGGGTGTGCAGGTTCCTGGCGCCGGACGGAGTCATGTTCCCCGACGTGGCGCGTCTGTACGCCTGTCCGTCGACGCTGGCCGCGTTCCACTGTGACCAGCTGCAGTGCTGGAGCCGACCGTACGGCCTGGACCTGACGGCGGTCGGAGAGGCGGCCCGCCGCAGCATGCAACAGGCCCCGCAGGTCAGAGGCTGGGCGAGGGGAGGGCAGGTCAGGAGGCTGGGCGATGGGGAGGGGACAGGTCAGGGCGCCTTGGGCTGATGTGGGAGGAGGCAGGTCACAGTGACTTCAATCTTATGTTTATTGCCGTACACCGGGAATCTTTGACAGTTTTTAAGCGATGGTTGCCTTGACCTGATATCATTGATGAAGAGGCGAATTTTGTATTGTTCGATGAATTATTAGGCCCGTAAATCTCCGTTTCCAAGTGGATGGTCAGTGGTTGTGCTACCTCGGTGATACACTGTGGGAGCTGGCTGCAGCCGCCTGTGGATGACCGTTGCTCACACTCTCAGGTGCTGGACACCCACCCGGAGGAGCTGCTGGCGGCTCCGGAGCTGGTGCTGGAGCTGCACCTGCAGTACGTCACAGCCGAGGAGCTGGCGGCCGTCACGTGCCGGCGTTTCGTGACGGTGACGCGGCCGGGCCCGTACCGCGGCCTGTGCCTGTGGTTCGAGTGCCACTTTCCGGACGGCAGTCGGCTGGACACGGCCCCGCGCGCTCCCTCCACCCACTGGAGACAGACGGCGGTGGTGCTGCCCACGGACTACCCTCTGGAAGTGGATACGGTCATAGGCTGGGAGCTGACCCTGGCGCGGGAGGCAGGCGGCGGCAGAAAGTACCGCATCGCGCTCAGCATGCTGGATGAGGACGATGAGCACCCGGTGCCGTGTGGCTGCGCCGTGGGGAAGTGCCGACTGATCAAGGCGCTCATAGATAAGGAGGACGCCGAGTGTGACGAGGGGTGACCGTGACGTCATACGAGCGGGGGGACAGTGTTGTTTTGATACGTGATGCAATACAATATGTGATGATTCGTTAATGTTGGATGTTGTGTTGACAGTGGCAGGATATTCGGCTACACCTCATGGTCTCAGTGCAGATTCACTAATTAGTAGCGTATCGGTGCAAACATCGGGTCGTGCAGCTGGATACTGATGGCTTCGACCGAGACTGCTTGTGGAAATGTGTGCTTCCAACTCAGCGGCCGAGACATGATCTGAGAGTGATAACCTACTGCCTAGTCTTCTCATTCATTTGACAGTGACACTGCTCGTACTTTACAACCTTCATCATCTTCAGCTGCATGACGCCAACATTGTGTGATGCTGTACAAGGGTGTTGATTGCCTCCATCTGTAAGCAGTTACTTGAAGTTTTTAAGCGGAATGAACTGTGGTAAACGACGGCGAAACCTTTTCTTACGGATGTATCTCTTTTCTTATTCCGTGATGATTTGTGGTCGTGAGAAACTAATATGCAAGAATTTCGGTCAAGACGTCAGTTAATGCAATTAAGTTTCCTATGAGCTCACGTCGACTTTGTTTTCATTTACATTTCTTATGGGGATTGAAGATCGTGTCCTCATTCACCATAGCGAAAGAGATCATCACTCCTGGAGAATAGACCAAATAAACATGTCTTTGCCAGACTGGTTGTTGTGCATTTTGACTTTTAATAATGACTTCTCAGCCAACATTGGCGAGCGGATCCGTGACATGTTTTTGCCAAGAGAAGCCGACACGTCCCTTGAATATGCGGCTCCTTTGCATCTGACTTCTTTGACGATATTTCACGCGCAGCGCGGACGCATCTGTTTGTCATTCTGTTGAGAGAAATGCGCTGCTGTTTTCCGCAGGTTCTCCGTCGCTCGGCTTCTTTCCAGCCGGAAAGGATTTACTCTCAGGTCCTTGATTAAAACTTGGGCACGTAGTGCTAACTTTTCACGCGTCTTGATCTCGCTACATTTCGGTCCTCCGCCAAAGCATCAAACGAATGCTGAATGCCTGTGCTCCACGCGAGTTTCCGAGCTAAATAAATAGTCATAGCGTCTAACTCGTTTGAGCTTATCCCACAGTTACACACAAGACTATACAGTATACAGCCGTAACACTATACATGAGCGGGGAAGATGTATGAATACATAAACTTTTCATGCAGTATAATAGGTATGAGGCTTACATTTGATATTGCTTGTGAATAACAGCAACGGGTTATATTATGAGGCGAAAATGTCAACGGATGACTTATAGTGTGTAATGGGGATGAGAAGAGTTGAATGTCAAAAATCTTTCATTCCCTGTGGACTTATATGTACCAACTCTGTGCTTTATGTCGAGGCTTGTCCATTTGCTTCTGAGTACAGCGTTGTATTGATATTGCAGGCCGGCGTGTGCAAGTTTGCGGGCAAGCTTGAATGCCTTGGTTCCATGATCATGTCAGATAACTGCATTACCACATGCCGAGATATCCCTTTAACATTAGCACGTGCATTTGGGAAATGGCTTCGGCCCGCCTCGGCTAATGTTGAAGGTATTTGGGAAACGATTCGGCCCTAGGGCTTTTTGATTTTCCCAGACAAAGTTTTACTGAATATTCTGAGCGGAAGAACCAATTTCAAAGAAGATATTTACGGATTGTGTGTTCACTAACAGCAACAGCAAAAGTAAGTGACTGCGTGTTTACATACTTTTGCTGTCAACGTAATTCAACTAAACAAGGTTATCGTTCCAATGCCAATGTATTTATTGCTGCAGAACATGGTCGGAATAATCATTACTTCTACATAATGCACGCAAAAAACGAACAATTTAAATGCGTGAAGCATCTTAACGTGCCACAATGAAACATTTGATATTGTTCCAGCTGGGATCCAAGACGCGTTTGATTCAGCGTTACACCCAATTTTTAGTTTTCCTCGCGGTTTCCTCACTCCTGCTGGACTCCATATCTTTATTCTAACTTCTGGCGTTTCACCATCTTCATCCTCAGCTTTTTCAAACCCTAAATAAGGGGAAGTAGGGATTTCATCTTTCATACTCAACGCAGCCTAATAATGAAAAACACAAACAAATAATCACGGTGACTATAAATATGAACATAGTATTAATAATAATATTAACACAATATTAAGATTAAAGTGTAAAATATCAAATGAATATGATATTAACTGTTGCGCCGGTACGGCATGTGGTAAATCTCTTCCCAACCTTGGGCTGTGAAAATGCAGTTTTATTCACCTCGGTTTTTGGCTACGGACCTCGTGCCTACCGGCACTCGGTCCTCCGCACAAAAACCTCGGTGAATAAAACGCATTTTCCCAGCCCCGGTCGGGAATATATATTCACAATAAAGATGACAATGTGTAGATACATGGAAGCTTTATTTCCTCAATGACTGGAATATTGGCTGGCGAAATTGGGGCTTGCATTGTGTTTTCTCAAATATATTTAACCAACAATAGTGACTGATGGTCACATCCGCCAATTCAGTCAACCATAAACTGGCATTATTATGAAGTTTGACTAGTTTCACTGACCTTTTATTGTTCAAGTACGCCATCTGAATGATAGCTATTCTGAACTTGTCATACTGTTTCTCATAACAGTAAGTTGTGTATCGCTTGTGCGCTCAGGGGCTTCCAGTGCAATGGTTTCATTTGATATTTAAATGTAAACGTGCCCTTGTTATTTTGGAGATTAGTAACTGATTGGATTGTCTCGATCAGCTTCATCTTACTTTTGCAGTGCAATCTTCTGCATGGGCGCCCTCAGTTGTGCCATCTGTTTGATTCTACCTCAATAGCACATACCTACTCGTGAGATAATGTTGCAAGGGAGTGGGATTTTTTTAGGTTGGTTAACCTCGCTTCGCTTTCGGGGCTGCTCCGTTTTCTAATGCCTCGTATATTTCATATATGTACATCCATATGTTTATGAGCTATAGAGGTTTGTAAACTGTGTGTGCTTGTATCGTGTATGTGCATGCACACGTCTCTGTAGTTTGTTAAGGGCATCTATATTTTATAACCATTCATGCTCTGGAGTGAATATTTAATGTGTATTTTGTGTCTAACACGCGCACTGTCCCCGACAACGTAGAATGATCGAAAAGTGATCCGAAGAGTTGTTCTTCGGTAGCAACGTTAAACTCTTAACGATATTACCTTCTAGGTACTGGCGCTGAATCAGAGAGAATGGTGTTACTTATGCAGACTGGGTGTGTTTATAATCCATTTACGTTGGCCATTGTCGTTCCACTCCGAAGTATTGCCTCTACCGTACTTCGGTCAAAGTTAATCACATATTGCCTGTCTCACATATTGTCTGGCTCGACTTTACGGTGTCGGCCATATCGCTGAGCTTCCCACGGGGCTCGCCTTGTCTATACGGCCCGGCGTTTTGTTACAGACCGCCGCCGGACACTGGATCCATCCAATGCACAGTGGGGATTTTTCCGATCTAGCGCCTATTAATTCAAAAAATATTTTTTGGATTCTTGTTTATTTTTTGTGTCAGTAGGGCTAAGAAATGTCTGAATTTTTCATATATGGCATTGTTTTATCTGTATGTCCACAGCAAAACTAGGAAAAATGCGCCCAAAGTTCACACTCATGCGTGCTTACTCAATGGGCTCAGCAAGGCCCGAAAGTATAGCTCAATTTCATTGTCCTGTCCTGTTGGTTTTAATCTTGCGAGGTCTTAAAGTTGCATATCGTCTGAAAGGCACCTTTATTAGGAATGGAATGGCAAACAGAAAGTATGCCACAACCTTACTAAGGTCACAAAAATGCCCTTTACAAAAAACCCTTACAGACACCATATTGAAGGAATGGTATTCTAAACAAATGTAGGAAATCAACAATGTTCTCCACACTTTTCCACTCCGAAATATATTGTAGGAGTTCCCTACAGCCGCGCACACCTGCTGCGCATGTGTCGGTGCGACATTGCTTATGTATACTCGTATATCCGCGCACACACGCTGCGCATGTCTCACGTTGCTAGATAGACCGTCTAGCGCATGCGCGTAGTTTTAGTATACCGTCTAACGTCCGTGTGTGCTGTACATTAGTAAAATCTGAAATTTGTAAATACAGACTCTTCTACTCATCGGCAACAAGGCTTTGGAGGGAAACGGAAGACGAGGAAGCGAGGGCGACATGAAGAGCCCTGGTGGCTGACGAGTGCTCGGAAAGGAACACGTTTCCCGATCACCACGATCGGATGACTGTAAACCGGGACGACCGTCTCCTCCCTGGGAGTGTAAACTGAGGGGAGACGGTCGTCCCAGTTTACTGTCATCCGATCGTGGTGATCGGGTAACGTGTTCCTTTCCGAGCACTCGTCAGCCACCGGGGCTCTTCATGTCGCCCTCGCTTCCTCGTCTTCCGTTTCCCTCCAAAGCCTTGTTGCCGATGAGTAGAAGAGTGTATTTACAAATTTCAGATTTTACTAATGTACAGCACACACGGACGTTAGACGGTATACTAAAACTACGCGCATGCGCTAGACGGTCTATCTAGCAACGTGAGACATGCGCAGCGTGTGTGCGCGGATATACGAGTATACATAAGCAATGTCGCACCGACACATGCGCAGCAGGTGTGCGCGGCTGTAGGGAACTCCTACAATATCCTATCAAATTCGCCACTTTCTTCTGCACAAGACAACGCCTAGTTTGGCTGCCGAAACTTGCCTGAACACGGAATATTCACATTAGAGTATCTTAACACCCCACTCGAGGAGCGCTAGGGCAAACAGCACGATATAGGTAGGTTCCGGACATAGGCGAATAATTTTACTTCGTGATTTATATGATGCATATTTTCTGAGACACATTCATTAGGAATAGGATGACAAGCGTAAATTATACATACCGTAACCTTATTAACCATCGCACTTGTGGGGAGGGGGAGGGGGAAGGGGTCGGATAAAACCCCATGGTTTTCCGCAAATTACTCGCGCAAAAAGCGGCCGATCGCGCCGAAACTTTCGGTACCCTCGAGATCATCAATTTTACATCTAACCTAAAAATTTCATGACTCTGACCCAACTGACCTTTGACCTGTGGCATATTTCTCGAGACCATGTTTGGCCGGAATCGCGATTCGGCGTATGCCAGCTCACATTATCCGCGGTTTCCAGTCTTTTTGTGGTTTTAAACGTTCAAATATGTGAAATGATGTTGGTGCCATGCATAATGGTGGGAGTCAAGGTCACGTGAAGGTCAAGTCAAGGTCATTGACCTTTTGATGACCTTGGTTCACTTTTTCGAGTTTTACTTGTTTCTAGGGTAGTTTTTGGTGCTGATTTCGATTTTAGCAGCCATTTGAATATTTACGAAGTAGTTCTAGTGCCTTCGTTCCATGTTACGAAGCTATCAGTAGTAGGTGACACTTCTATGGATGGCCGGCAGGACGCCTACTAATTGATCTAACCTGACCTCGACCTGACCCGACCTGACCTAAATGCATAAAGACATCGTCTGTGATCAAAACTAACATGAAATTCGTGATCAGCACCCCAAAATACCCCGTAACACCCTAACTTTGCGAAGTTTCAAGAGGTCTCGATTTCCCAACTTTAGTTGGGTCATTAAACTGACTTGGAAAGTCAGCTTATGACCTTAGACTTTGAAATTGGATATATTCGGCCTAATTTCGTCATAGGCAGCACGCTTGACTTTTCCGCGAAGCTCTAGCTTGATCAGGGGCCAAACGGCTGAGCGGGGGGTCCAATGGAACCCCCTATACTATGTTGATTATGCACATTTACAGGTAAAATTCTCACCAGGACACACCAGCCAACATCTATGCACAATCTAGCTACAATTCTACCTATGGTTTGCCCTCTACGAATAAATACGTGCTAGATCGGAAAAATCCCCACTGTGCAATGGTGCGTCCGTGGATCCATGGGTGCTCCATGGGTCCAGTGGTGCGACTATGGGTCCGTTGGTGATCCTATGAGCTCTGCTGTCAGGCGAGGTGCTGCAATCATAGGCGGTTGGTATAGTGCTGACTGCTGGTAGGCTCCACCAGCTCGTAGGCTACTCTTGCTCCGCCGACCCGTAGACTGGGCACTCTGACTCCCGGGCTACTGTCGGCAGAGGCGGGTGGTGGGCTACTGTCGGGTGCCGGCGAGCTACTCAGGCTGGCGGGCTTCTGTCGGCGGAGGCGGGTGGTGGGCTACTGTCGGCGGAGGCGGGTGGTGGGCTACTGTCGGCAGAGGCGGCCGGTGGTCTACTGTCGGGTGCCGGCGAGCTACTCAGACTGGCGGGCTAGTTGTCGGCGGGGGCGGCCGGTGGGCTATTGTCGGAAGAGGCGGCCGGTGGGCTACTGTCGGGTGCCGGCGGTCTACTGTCGGCAGGGGCGGCCGGTGGGCTACTGTCGGGTGCCGGCGAGCTACTCGGCCGGCGGTCTACTGTCGGCGGAGGCGGGTGGTGGGCTACTGTCGGGTGCCGGCGAGCTACTCGGCCGGCGGTCTACTGTCGGCGGAGGCGGGTGGTGGGCTACTGTCGGCTGGGGCGGCCGGTGGGCTACTGTCGGCTGGGGCGGCCGGCGGTCTACTGTCGGCAGGGGCGGCCGGTGGGCTACTCGTGCTGTCGGGTGCCGGCGAGCTACTCAGGACTGGCGGTCTTCTGTCGGCTGGGGCGGCCGGTGGGCTACTGTCGGGTGCCGGCGAGCTACTCAGACCGGCGGTCTACTGTCGGCTGGGGCGGTCGGCGGCCGGCGGACCCAGGGGACCGAATCTCCCGGAACTGGCCGGCGCCGGCCGCCGCCACAGCTCCGACCGACCTCATCCGGCATTACTGCCAGCTCCGAGCTCCATTGCAATTCTGAATACACCGTAGGTCAATCCAAATGGGACCAACTTTGAACCTCAGCCGGACATGTAGTTGGGCAGATTAAACGGGCGCCCTGCGGCGGCGGCGCCGGCCAGTGACTCAGTACTTCGATATAATTTGCTGCAATGCCGCCGATTGCCTCGGTAACAGCCGCCCACTCTGATTTGGGAGCCCGGTGCACTGGGGATGACATCGGCTCATGCTGCGTATTACTGTGCATGGTGAGGCGTGGTTGATTTAATGTTTTAGACACTGCGCCGTCTTAATTTCCAATCATATTCGGATTGGAGTGTGACCATGCATGTTGTAGACCTACCGTAATAAGATTTATTTGTAGCATGGATAACTCTTGGTCCTTAAACAAAATATAAAGAGATCCTAAATAACGAAAGAATTAGGTTAAAAGCAAAACGCTTTGCCCACCTTCTTATTTTTTCCTTGCCTAAGCTCTTGCCACAATACCTCGGAGGTTTCGTTTGTTGTATGAAATGGCTAAATGTGTTCCTGATATCAATGCCTGTTTTTCTTCATTTCACGTCATAGTGATAGCGCTGTACCTGCCAATGTGAAACATCCATCGCTATACTCCTCATTTCAAATCGTTTATTGTGAAAAGGTGCCATGTTGACCTATCCCGTCGTCACTCGTCAGTCCTTAGGTCATTCTACGCCGGTATGGTAAGCCCCACACCACGGGACCCAGGACACCCAATTTTGCAGCACTCTGCATGGTGACAACAAAGCACAAACGAGGATGCATGTCGCGAATGGATCCCGCCGAGTCTCCTAGTTCCACAACACAGCCTTGTTAGTCGGCTCCTTTATGGTCGGGTCTCACACAAGTCTTCCACGAAGCCCACTGCGCCACCGGGTTGTGCGGCGCAGCCTACCAGTCCAGGTGCACTCAGGCAGAGCCATCTGTCGGCCGGTGGAGTAAACTGAACCACACTACGCGGAGCGGAGCATTTATGCCACGGACTTTCTGAGAAACTGGAGCAATGTAGCACTGAAAGTGTACCGAAATTTTATCATAACCAAATTGTTTTATTGTAATGCGATGCGTTATTTATGCTGTCTTTGGGCACTGGTGCATGCGTATGACAATAACATAGCGCAGGTTGCAGTCCTGCAGGCCCACGATGCTTACCAGTTACCTACCTATCACTACCCTTGTTTTGTGCTTGCTGTCATTACGATTGTCTAAGTAATTTGGCTTGGATGTGGGTTGGATTGAAAGTACTCGTATATTGCATGATGATTCTTCCAAGAATTTAGGTATTCCGACTGTGCATAGTCGAATGCAAGACGTCTTGCACCTTACTTTTCAACTCGCCTAACCGCTCAAAATTATTTTATACAGCTTCAATGTGAAACTAAACCCCTGTTGATGCCCACGTGTATATTTGATGTCTCACATCTTTTACCAAATGTTCAAACAGTAGCAATGTCGGACCAACTAATAGCTGGTATGAGCTCCTGATGTCACACTCAAGACACACAGACAATGATAAAATAAAAATTATGTGTTAGTTCCGCAACATCTTATCCGTCGATAAAAGCCGATGTACTTTCATTCACTATTCCTATTCAGTCATGATAGTCGGTACAAACTGTCGAACATTGATAGCAAATATTTACGAGTCGGCTAATTTTAGATCGCTGCTTTTCGACAAGGAGCAAGCGGAAACAGCGTGATTCAATCTTAATAGTGACATTTGATCACTGTGTACCAAAATAATAGAGCACAACTTTGACTGAGGCAACATCTTGGCCATGTTACATGCTGTCTTCATGCAAACGGGAAATGAATATATCTAGTTACATACAAAAACATTACTCTTTAGACGTCTTTTATGTACACTGCACTCTGGTGATCTCAGTGACATCGATATGGTACAGCTGCACGCAGAAGTGTCAATTTCTACTGACTTCTGGGTGCCCGAGCCCTCCCAATTCCACGTCGGCTTGACTTTTGGAGCCGCAACAGACGGCACGTGTCAAGGTCACCGCTAAGGTCGCGGCGGATTTGTAATGCTCGGGCACCTGCAATTCAGCAGAAATGGACGCCTATGGCTGCACGCATGCTTCTTCACGATTTGACGATCACTAAATGTCCAGTCTCCATACGCTTCTGCCACATTTTTATCACTCTAAACTTATCATCAGACGGCCACAACTCGTTTCCACACATCACAGTTACCGCCTTAAATTTGCGTGACACGGGTAGAGTTTTATGTAACTGTACATGTACGAACACACCGTGTGTAACATTATCTCCTTTTTATGAGAGCCCGTCACGCGGCGCGGTCGACTGCGGCGAGCCATTGACCATTCGCGGACGACGCGTCGGCTGACAATTGAGTTAGGCCGAGCCACCATTAGACCATACCAGCCGGTCCTCAGTTCCTCGGGTACATACCGGACCCCTGAGGCCACTGACCCTCAGGCAGACGGCTGGTCGGGATATCAGCCTTGCACAGTCACGTGGTTCGGGCTGATATATCATGTGGCTCTGGCCGATATATCACGTGGCTTGGGCCGGTATATCACTTGGTTCGGGCCGGCTCAGTCACGTGATTCAGACCAGTTTACCACACGACTCGGATCGAATCAGTCGAATAATTTGGACCAGTGCAGTGGCCCCACGTCCCACTCAACCATGTACCGTCTCTGGTATAAGCACAGAGCCGCTGCCATCAGCAGTCAGCAGCCGTCGCATTGCTAGGGATTGTCCGACACCTCAGGGACCCAGCAAGTGTCCGAAGGTCGCGGCCGCCAGCACCCAGATGAGCACACGCCGCATGAGGGTCCGCTTTTCGACTGCTCCGGAGGTGTGCATTGCTGCTGGGGTGTCGCCTGGAACGGCCAGAGGGGTGTTACAGGGATAAAAGATAGAGAACAGGGGGCGAGAAAGAGAAAGAGAGAGAGAGAGAGAGAGAGAGAGAGAGAGAGAGAGAGAGAGAGGAGAGCAGAATGAGAGGACTAGTAAATAAATTGTTTGTATGTATAAACATACCTAGCTTAGCCCTCAGCAGCTGCCCTGTACCAGTGTGCTAGCTAACCAAGGTAAATAAACAGGGCTCCTGCGAAAGCTTCCCTGAACGTAACTGTGTTACCGGTGTTCGCAACAACATGAATTCCTTTGGGTCACTCAATGGTGAAGGGTCAAAATACGTCGACACAACACGAGTAGGCCTCTGTTGTTAGGTGTTTGTCATCCATTGTCACAGAAAGTGAAAGAAAATATTGTAATAAACTGACTATAAAATCCCCTTCCTTGTATAGTCTACAGGACATCACTTAGCAGATAATACAGGGTGGGCCAAAAAAAGTGTGTCACTTTTCAGCGGCTATTTCTCGAAAGTGGTAAGAGATACCAAAACGAAACTTTCACAACTTAATGAAAATCGTTTGACAAATTATATGATACCCATTTTATGAAAAAGTCTTAGTCGAACTGATGTTGCCATCACCATTTCAAAAATGGGATATGTGGGTCTTTTATGTTTGCGCATGTGCTCGAAGTGGGCACCGCCAAGCTGAAGGCCATCTGAACGCGCTCCTGAAGCTGACGCCCACCTCTCCGCGGTGTCTGCTGTCACTTCACGCACGTACTGCTCGACGCTGAGACGCAGCTCCTCCAGGCTACCGGGTTTGTTGTGGTAGACGCTGTCGCTGTCCTTGCAGTCTCCCCAAAACCAGTAGTCCAGCGGGTTGAGGTCAGGTCTGTGAGGAACCCACTGCTTTTCGCTTCCCTTGGTGATCACGCTACAAGCTTTGTTCATGCAAGATGTAGCGCCACCGCACACGGCCCGAGAGACACTGCAGCTGCTCCAAGAGCTCTTCGGTTGCCGCGTGATCTCCAAGGGAAGCGAAAAGCAGTGGGCTCCTCACAGTCCTGACCTCAACCCGCTGGACTACTGGTTTTGGGGAGCCTGCAAGGACAGCGACAGCGTCTACCACAACAAACCCGGTAGCCTGGAGGAGCTGCGTGTCAGCGTCGAGCAGTACGTGCGTGAAGTGACAGCAGACACCGCGGAGAGGTGGGCGTCAGCTTCCGGAGCGCGTTCAGATGGCCTTCAGCTTGGCGGTGCCCACTTCGAGCACATGCGCAAATAAAAAGACGCACAGATCCGGTTTTTTAATACGATGATGGCAACGTCAGCTCGATCGAAATTTTTCCATAAAATTGGTATCATATAATTTGTCAAACGATTTTCTTTAAGTTGTGAAAGTTTCTTTTTCGTATCTCTTACCACTTTCGAGAAATTACTGCTGAAAAGTGACACACTTTTTTTGGCCCACCCTGTATATTGATCTTGAACTGAAAGATTTGGTTGTTGAGCTTATAGGTATCCGCGGAGCTTGCAGATAATATCGGGGGTTTGTCCAATACTGGCCAATGTAGATGACAATTTTGGCGGCGTGCAGCGCTTTATTCAATCACGGGTCAAAAGAGAGTAACATGGTAGAAAGGCGTATATTAAGTAAAAACTCAAGACAATAATTTTTTAGTTCTTATTCTAACCAATAGTTTATGGTTAAACGGAAATTACCTACTAACAATCATTGCAACCACGTTTATCTCATCTCCTAGCATGTGTACATAATTGGAAATGCGTTGTATGAGTGTAGGGTAAAACATCGCTAAATTATAATTCACTAAACCTAATGTTCCCTTTGCGTGCACTCAACCAAGTCAACCATTTTTTTTTTCAGTAATATATTACCGTTTTACGATAAAGGACACCCCCATAGCCTGTTCTCTGCTAGTGATCAGCCTCGGTTCTCAGAGTTGACGCCGGTCGAAATTTACAGGCGCTCTCATCCCCAACCAGCCGCTGTGATATTTCCTTGGTGTGTCGATAATCTGAATTAGGCTGCATAAATTATAACTGGCATTATCGGAATAACAATCCAGGTATTTTCGCCTGTTTTGCATCCGACCAGTACTCGGGGCTGACAACTAATAAAAAGGATGAACTTCATCGCCACTCTTCTGCGTAGCTGCTCACTCAGATTAGATACTCGTCTTAGGATTAGGAGCGAAGTCCGATATAGGTAAGCAAATATTAGTATTGCCTCGCATAAAATGTCAACGCCTTCCTGAACTGTGGATTGGGGACTGTAAGGTATGAACAGTTATGAGACTTTCTGAATAACTAGCATATGCACAGCATAGCAACAAGGCCCATGGCGTATTAAACGGATCGTTGAAGTAATGTGAGTTTTATACAGTTTTATATTCTTTGTGTCATACCTTACAATTGAAAGATGCGACGTTCGAGATGCATGGCAACAAGTAATTGTGTTAGGTACTCTCAGTATCTCTCGCACGACTAACTATGAATTTAGTGTCGCCATAGATGTTTGACGTTTTAACATTTCTATTGACCTCCATAATGGTGACAAATATAACGGTGTTGATCAGCTTAATAAATGTAGCGACCGTGAATTTTTGGCCATCGTTATGTTCTACCATTGTCAGGGGCGGATCCAGAAAATCTCCAAGGGAGGGGCCATTAGAAACCAGGAGGCCCCCCCCCCCATAATCCCACCTGTTGGAGGCCCCATCTTCCCACTTGTTGGCCCCCCCCCCCAAAAAAAAAACTGCGTCTATTGAGCTTATCTAGCTGTTCAGGCAACATCTCTACATCTGTGCAGGCTTGGAGGCCCTCTGTGCAGGTTAGGAGGCCCTGTAAAAGTGGTCATCTCTGTGAGTATAAGAGACCTCCAAGTTATGAAAAGCTTTACCAATCTTCTAACAAAGAAGTCTTCTCAGCTAGTCTTCTAAGAAATAACTAAGTGGGTAGGTTAAAAAAAACTCATCGGATTTCGGCCACTTTATTTTCAGGAGGCCCCCTTTTCAGCTTTTTAACTTTTTAACTTTTTATTTTATTTTTGAAAAAAATCGGCCAAGGGGGGGGGGGCATGGCCCCCATGGCCCCCCCCCCCTTGTATCCGCGCCTGACCATTGTTGACATGCTCTAGCCTCTAAGTCGTTGATTACACTTTATGCAGCCTTCTGTATCTGTCAGATTGATCATAATTGTCTCAAATGAAGTATCATCCACTGAAATTTACCCGATCATCGGACAAATTTCGCCCAGCCTCTGGAGTTCTGAGAGAGACGAGTTCGCTGCCGGCCTTGGCGTGAAATATGCTGTCCATTCTCTGTCCTTTAGTGTGAGCGAGAGCGACGGTATCGATTTCGGTGGCCGTGCCGTGGCTCAATCAATGGTCGCTCGACAGGCCGGCACGGGAACATCTGCGGCGATCAAATCTCGCACGGCATTTGCCTTGATTGGAAAATGACGACCCGATTCAGAACCAGTCCAGAGTAAGGGAAATGTGTGACCGGAGAATAAGAAAAGGCAGGTTCGAGCGCATGTTTGCAACCCCGCTGTAACATTGCGGAGAAAGTGCATTCCATACACCTAGACATAAACTGTAGGTACAGGTAAAAGCGTGATCTCCCTAATAAATACTCCTGGGGAGTAGCACTAAATAATATTACCTGCTTGTTTCGGTCTAGCTAAGCTGTATTGTCAATAACAAAAATTTGGAAACACGCATAACACATTTTCAAAACGCCCTATCCTTTCATGGCATGGTCGTTGTATCCATTCACACGACTGGCAGATACGGACAGAGGGATGCATGCACCTCTGCCTGGGGAAGGGGATATAAGAGGCGGGGACGGGTGGTCGGTGGCGGATATTAGACTAGCGAGAGCGGGAGCGAGTGAGAGCGTGGCATAGCGACCCAGTGGCCTGCTTTAGCACGGCGTCCGACCGCCAGAAAAACCACCAGTGGGACCGGTCAACGGATGGCGGACATCACTCTCCCCGACAGGGCGGAGAGAAAGGAGAAAAGAATGGAAAAGAAGGGATAGAGTAGGAAAAGAGGAGAACAGATAAGAGAATAAGTAAAAGCTCAAGCTCTGATAATTTATAGGCAGTACCTATAATGGCGGCTAGCCAGCAAAGCTCAATTCAGCTTACCTACGGCTTATGGGTCGGGGATGTTGGAGAAGGCTGAAACAGTTGATGAATTTGGTAATGGTTTTAGCCAGCTTATCGGACCTTATTATTTATCTGAATCAGTTAAACTAAGAGACTAACTCGGTTAAGCGAGTTAAGAGTGACACGTGAAGTAACCCTGTATGAAAAAAAAATAAGATGAAGGAGGTAGACAATCAAAGATACAAAAAGCTAGTGAAAATAAAATACAGAGAGAAATATAAAGTGCATAACAAAGGTAAATAAGGCGCCGTGGAGAGATGGGGAGAGCAAGAAGAGGAGGCGGCGGCGTCCGGGTGGATAAAAGCGGCACTGGCCCGCCGCTGAGTTAGCAATGGCCCGTTTATGGAGGTTACGGAGAGAAAGAGCCGCCTCCGAGACACTATATTGCCTCGTAAAACTGCCGCGGGTCACGGATAATAAAGACGCACTCACTTCCGCGAAAAGACGCTGAAAACTTTTGACATCTTTCAGAAATATACAACCGGGATGCAGCGCAGAAGTATGCGGAGTGCTGTCTAAAATACGAGTAGGTGACGTTATTTATTAAATCGATCACTTGTTAAAGGCTTTTTTGTACTGGTACGAGGGTGTGCTAAGATATGGATGCCACTAAAGACAATTTGTGCGCTGGCAGTGGCTCAGAAAATTAAGCATATTTTTAAGTTCAGCGCGAATGCATGTGTACAGAAACATGCGAATTTGTAGTAAATGTTGACATTTTGTAGTTAAATTTGTTTTACGTTTTAAATTTACATAATTATTTAAGATGGCTAATAATGCAAGACAAGAAGGTTTGGCATTTTAGCTTGCTGTTTTAACAACATGTCTACGTTTAAATTAATATTCTTTACATAAAGCAGTATCATCGATCAAGCACTGTATGATGCATTCTCATGAAGCGTATCTTTATTGATAATATTCATGTTCTTTGTTCACAGGCGATTTGTTGCTGAGGTAAATCGTGTTGCTGGTCGTTCTATGAATATAATTTGCAAAAATAGAAACATGCTTAACAACTAAGGACATTATGCCTTCAAAACGCTGCGACAAACTTAGATTCCGACAGCACATGACAAAGCTCCGCGTCCGCTCACCACCGGGAGTGGGGGTGGGGGGGCGAGCGCCCGCCTCTCACCGTTTAGCACGTGGACGCGGGTGCTGACGGACTGGGCGTTCGACGGACTGCAGGAGTAGAGGCCCGAGTCGGAGGGTCGCGCCCGGCGCACCACCAGCTGAGAGCTGAGCTGGGAGCCGCTCTGTCGGGTCTCCACGCTGATGTCGCCCCGACCCGAGTCGTAACTGACCACCTGTCGACATGGAGCACGTCAAGAGCAACGTTTCTATGTGGATACTGAGGCCTCTGTATTAAAACTCAGTCGGGGGTCTGTCAAGAAGGTCAATAGAATTGTTTGCATTCATGTGCAGTACAGCGTACAAGTTTACAGTCCTGAACAGTCCTTATGTTTATCAATGGCAAGAGAAGTCTACGTAGAAGTAAGTCTAAGCGTGCAATAAAAAATATCCTGATCCATCTCCATCCGTCTTGTTGTTGCCAGTCTTGATATGAACATCGTTGGTGCATACTTTCATTGCCAAAGCATTTACAAAGTATGCTACGAGCAACCAATATCAAACATGCAGAGGCATATCATGTTTTTATTCATTCGATGAATTTGTGTAAAGCCTAGCTCGAACCCATCCAGACCTGGTTGACGCCGCTTTGCATGGAAACTTCAATTTCGTGAAAAAGTTATATTGGCCGTTTTCACGAAGAGTTTTATGGCAAATGTATCGAACGTCAAAGTCAAACCAAATCTCTTTTACAGCAAACAAGTATCCAACTATCCCATGTTGACTTCCTTGCAAAGAGTATGCCTTATTTTATGAAAATGCGTCACTAGAATATGATATCTTTTAGTTTGAATATTATTAATCATTTCAATATTTACATCGAAAATGATGTTTGATTATTTAATAAATAGGTAAGGTATAAATAGGCAACTAGTGCAACCCAATTGAGATGTGATCAATAGTTTGCTTTTGAATAAAGCGGAGCATTCTCATCATTTTCAGAGCAAAGTTTTATCCGAACTTCTTTAAGCCTGGAACGACTGTGCTTTTGTGTACTTTGCGTGTTTAACACTATCGAATTTTAAGAAATTCACTTTCAAATTCTTACTATGTGGCCAGCGTTTCCGCTGCCCTCCTCTACCGACACCGCATTTGAGAGGGCCGTGGCGTAGCCACTGACGTCATACGTGGCAGATGGTGCAGTGCATGTTTGCGGTGAGGAATATTGGCCAAACGAGACGAAGACGGCCCTCGCCTATCATCGATTTTCTGACATATTAAAGATCGTTGTTGAAAGTTTTCCAGAGGAAGGATGCTGTAACCATGTAGGAAGTATCGGGTTCCCGGGGTTCTGAAACGCTAGTTCTTTAAAAGAAATCCATCCGTCGATTAATGTCAAATATTGACCGTTCTATAAAAGTTCGAAATCAGGTAAATGAAAAGACGAACTAAAACTTATTGTCAGTGGAACGTTTGTTTCATTTTTTCTATGCATCTGTTTCATTTGATGAGGATAGGGAGGCCGTATATGTAAGTGCCAATGGAATAGAGTGCCGAACTTTCACTAATACTATCGTTATGTTGGTTCAGAAACTCGCAATTGGAGACGAGCATCTACAGGAACACGACAATCAAGTTATGTCAGCCAGGGCTGACATATAGAACATGACATATACCCTTGCTACAGGTCTGCAAATGCATATCAATGCATATTGTAATGAGGCACATCATTTTAAATGTGTGGTTAGTGCATGTTTTAGTTGGCTGTTTTGTAGTCCTAGAAAAGAGTCAAGTCACTATTGAGACGTAGCTCCTCTCCGTGGCGCAATGGCAGATGCCACACTCGACTGGAAACCGAATTCTCGCCTCAACTGAATAGCGGCATTATGTATGTCCAATTTATCAGCTTTTCTTCTCATAATGTAATTAGGCTTCGGCAAAGAATACGAATCAGAGGTAGAGGGAGAGGGAGAGAGGGAAAGAGAGTGATACACATGAGAAAGGAAAGACGTAGGAACAGGAAGTCCCAGGAGGTAAGACAAAATGTCATGGGTGAAAAATACAAGATGAAATGAATGGCATCTAAAAGGCGAAATAAATATCGAAATGTTTTCACCTACCTATCGGTATAACGGAACGATTTTTTTCTTATAACGAATTTTCTGCCTTCATAAATGTTGACATAAGGGATTCAACGCATAAACGTATCGCCAGACTATATACAGAGCCAGCCGCGACTGCATTATTATGTAACGTACAGCGTGTGCTGCACTTATGAGAGCATTGGCTGTCACTGCCTCCAAGTTTGTTTTGCCAGGGGCTTTGTTAAAGGGCACGTTAACAGCTGGGTTGCTAGCCACCCATATTGCCGCCGAGTATCTCAGCGGCAGTATGGGATGCTATTTTTGTGCTCACTCAGTAATACACTAGTCTCAAATAATCATCTTTTTACCGTCGGCAGTGGTAAGACAATACCGAGGGTTATTAGCGAGTAACCATCGAGGACGACAGCGCCCAGCTCGTCTATTCTAAGGTTATTTCACAGAAGTTGCGTTTGTATCCGTCGCCAACCGGCAGATGCTCTGGTGCTTATTGACCGCGTCCGAAACTGAAGGTGGCGGAATGGGCCCCTCCCTGCCAGTCCTACGGTACGTCGGGGGTTGACATCGAACTCGTCTTAACCGTGGCACCACCGCCCAGCGATTTCTCCTCGCCTGAGGCTGGCCCGGTTCTCGGCGGAATTTTTGGCAAGCTGAAGCTTTCAGCCGAGTGCCGGTGGCGATAAAACCTTGGTCAGCGACAAATGCCGCCGACTCGACGGGCGCGGCGCCGGTCGACGGCCGCTGGTGTTCAGAAGACAGAGACAGACGGCGCTGGGGCCGGCTGAAAGGGGCACCATCACCAGGGAGATCCATAGAGAGGAGGGGCGCCGTAATCGGGACGATGGCTGCTATAGGGAGAAAGGTATATAATGCCATTTACAGCATACATGCATACATACATAGTTACATGTATACAGTATGCATATGTATAGGTAATACATTACCGAGAGCCGAGAGGTTACTGCCATGAGGGAGAGAACGTCCCATTCCTATGGGCGACGCTACGGGAAAGGTTATCTACGTCATTCTAGCGAGAGAGAATTTATCACCAGGGGGCGACACTCCATGTGAACAGGGAGACCCGTGGAGCGTAAATGGTTTAGGCGCGTTATCCACCGTCGCTGGAGGCGTGGAATGTTGGATATAACCGGGCCACCGATCCGTGAATCTTCCGGGCATGGTTATCATCCCGTGTAAGGCCGTTCATTGGGCAGGGAGTGGAACTGGGCCTTGGCAACAAATAACACAACAGGGCATGGTATTGTATATGGTGTTGCAATAGCGACGAACAGGATGCAGTTTCGATTTCGATCGTCCATCACTGATGCCTCGGTTTCGTCTCAATTGCAAATGGACAAACACGTTTTGACTGCCGTCGTTTCAACTCATTAGAAGTGTTAGACATTTTGTTATCACAGACAATGACGATAACAATAATGGCAATGCATCTCATAGCCAATTTGTTTTGTTATTGGATTATTTTTTCAACTAATGGCTCGTATCTGTCAGTGCACGCACCGATTACCTAACGGATAAGTTTATCATTATCCAATCCATACTACATTCACTCACCTCATCTCCGTGGTACCAGAAGATGTACTTGGGCGGCTCGGGCGAGTTGGTGACCACACAGGTCAGGTTCAGCACGCTCCCCACGTCAACATACATCTCCGGCGGGCCCAGGATGCGCGACTCGGGCACTGCCGGCAATGACGTCATCAATCAGCGCCGGTGACGTCACCGTCTCGGATATGATAGGCGACAGCTGTTGCTGAATTTGCATAATGTTCGGAAATGCAAAACAGCAAAATATGCAGCGTGAAATATGGCAAAATCATGTCGAAACTTAAATTGAGATGTCGTATGTCATGCGCTGCTGCAAAACAATGATATTATAGGAATGATGCAATGCAATTCTGGTATCAATAGGTAAGTACATTTAAAGCGACATGGTTATACTTTCTCGGAAACATATATGCATCCAAGAAGGTAAAAGGTTTTCTAAAAGATACATATTTAATACCTTGAACGCATGTACATGCATGTTTTATGTGTAAGTCTTTACGAATATGAAGTAATTATTGAAGGAGCAGCAAATCATGCCTATTGTGTCACATACTAAATTGTCCTCAATTCAATTACCTATTGCATCTAATGGCGGGAGGGCAGACCAATAACTGTAGAAAGCCAGAAACCACGCAAAACTAATATTAAACTCCGTCTCTAAAAAGTCATTTACTCAAAGAACTCTCAACATTTTCAACTAAATGAGCGTCAAAATATCCTGCAAACTTCACGTTTGTAGCAGCTTGTGTGAATAGGCCGGCAATTAATTTGCCTGCTCGCCAAGTTGGAAAAGTTCTGGAGTCGACGGATCTCTCAGGCAAACAGAGCGTGTTTGGCGCCGCCTCTGCCTCGCGTGTTTCAGTTGTGTTTCACGGGCGGGTTCCGAGCAGAGAGTGCCAATTGTTGATCTCTGGTGTCCGTCTTTTCACCGGTGACCCTCTTTATTCAGATTGTGTGTCACCGGTTGAGTGTACATACATATGAATGGCTTTGAACCAGCTATTTGAAAGGGGTCCAACCGAGCAATAGCGTAATATCTTCAACACGCACACAAAATTGCAGCTATTGAGCTGGCACGTCTCGCTGCTCTGAGGCCTATTGTACCAAAATACCTTCTATGATGTCATTATATAACTATGTCATTTTTTTGCCAGCTAACCTACGGAAATAAACTATCTTGATCTTGCATCAATCCTTAGCATGAACCTCCAGGTGCTTGGTAGAATTTATGGGTAAAATGTTACTGCAGAGTTTTGGATCGGACTTTCCTCTCTGCGCCACAGGCGAGGACGCCCGCCGTCGTCCGTAAAGTCCGTAATACGGACAGAGAGATCATTAAATCACTGGCGGTAGGGTCTCTGAAAGATCACAGCGCACGAGGAGCGGTGCACTAACCCCGAATAACACAACTTGGCCGCTTAATTCATATTAGCTTGAGGACATTATAATGAAGGGAATTATGAAGTGGATTGCCGCAGCGCGCCAATTATGTATACCTATCTCGGATTAGAGAAGCTGATTCATATCGCCTAATCCCGGTCCTAATCCCGCTTTGAGCGCGCTCGTTGAGAATGGGTCATGGAAAGGGCACCGCAGATCGGGATTCGCCGATCCGATCCCCGATCCGATCCTGTCCGTAGAGACCATGAAAACTAGGCTAGTGCCGTCGCCTCACCGCTTGACACGATTCACAAACCACATTAACCGTAATTAACTACTTTTCCGAACTAAATAACGTCTTCATAGTATTTTATAGCATTTAGAAATAACGATTGTAACTAAGTTCCTACGACACCAGCTTGTCATTGCAATGGTTGGCAAATGGCGAATAAGATACGGGAATGACAGCCGCAGTCGCCGAAGTAACAGCGACGGAAGTAGCAGTTAAGGATGAGATAGTGGTAGAGGCAGCAACAGAGGGTGTGATAGCGCGATCTTGGTGTAATACAAGAAATGGGGAGATACGTCTGGCGGGAGGGCGCTGAGCGTGGTAGCGATGAAATTACTGTGTGCGTGGGTGCGATACAGGGAACTTATGGTGACGAAACCGGGAGAGAGGAGACGAGTTAAGCGCTCATGCGTAGGATAGTGGAAATGTGGTGGTTGTGTGGGTGGAAGTGGGTGGTGGGTGGGTGTAGAGGACATTCATGTGGACGTGTCGGTGGAAGTTGAGGGTGCAATGGTGCGCGTGGATGTGGATGTGGATATGCCGGTGGAACTGGATGGCTGATGTGTCGATGGAAGCAAACTGTACAATGATATAGGGGAGACCCGGGAGGTATGGGCCGGTTTTGTGAAAAGACAATTTTCTTCCAGTGGGCAGTGGCTAGACCCGGTTTTTCACTCTGTGTACGTGAAATTGCCTTTCGCTTGCAACGTGTGCCTGATATTAGGCATCGGGGATCAACTACTTTGTCTCGAAATAACTTTCAATACATCATGTGCTTTTTCGATCCATCAAAATACACCGGGAGGTATGGGCCATGGCTCGGGAGATATGGGCCGGCGCCATGTTTCATATTCTTTTCTCGATAATGAGAACAATACTCGTTGCTGTTATCTACCTTGATCTCTCTTAGAGCCCAGGGACCGCATAAGCGGCCAACAGCTTACTTCATGAAGGTCACTTGGGCACATATGTATTTTGGTTAACTCAATCATGCACCATGAAATAAGATCAATAATATTTTTTTTCTGTTCGAATGAAATTTGAAACTAAATTTTCGACCTTGCGCGACAAAACTAAAACCTATTGACTGGGACATTCAATGAAAGCATGTTTTTATTTATTTAGGATCAACGGGGTGGGTGGCCCGAACCTCCCGGTTAGGACGCCAGAATGTGCGTAGCATCTCAGCTCATAATCTTGCAAGAAAGCTTCAAATTGTCTATCCAGTAATAATTTCCATACTTTAAACTTTATGTTAGCGATGGTCTGACATCATAAAACGAGCCTGGTTCAAATTTATCATGAATGTTCTGTATGTACCGTATTTAACTCGAAGAGGGCAAAAACAGTTTATCACCGCTCATTGCCAAAGAAGATTGAGGAAGATTTTGAAAATCGCGTGGGTTGTATAATGGAATGGCTGCTACCAGTTAACGCCGTCAAATGTGTAAAAACACGCATCACTTCTTCAAAACTGCGGTGGCCCATACCTCCAGGGGGCCCATACCTCCCGGGTCTCCCCTAGTGATATGAGATGAGATTTTGATATGGATATGTGCGGAGAAGTGGAAGACGAAGGGTTATGTAAGTGGACAGTGGAGAACGCGTGTCGGTGGATGTGAGGGATGACTGTTGCAGTGGAATGGGGGTGGACAATGTGGGAGTTGGCCGCACTGGCAGCGAGGCGATCACAATCGGATGTGGCGGCTCTCGGGAGGGATCAATTGTGCCGCGTGCCTGCCGGACAGGTCCATTGAGCGCGTGATTGATGAACCGGATCTGTGTCCCCAGCTGCGGGACATAGTCCATGCACTCGGTCTTATTTGGCGCATATAGAATGCATTGCAATGCTAAGGCCCGTGGCATACATCTATTTTCTATTATCTCGTTGTTGATGAAACTGTCCTTATATCAAATCATCAATGGCGATTGATTTCAGGCAGAGGGAATGTGAATCTAGTTATGAATTTTCATAGCTCCTTATGTTATAATTTAATTCTTTATCAATATCGTTTCTCCCTCTCCTAAAATTCAAAATAAGTCCACTCATAGACCTCTGTACACCTGGACTGAGCGCAGAAATTTCGGCCATGACCATAGTGGCCCTAACTTTCAGATGTTATATCTCGAGATCAGTAACACCCAGATAGGTCCGGTCTTCACTATTTGATGGCCCCGTGCATTAAAAATTGAATGCAATGTCTGCGGGAGATATCGGCTGGCACAGAGGAGGGTCTGCGCGTGGCGCGTGAGGGGTGTTTACAAAGTTGGTCTAATGATATCTCCAGAACTGCGTCACTGATTGAGCTCAAATTTGGTATGTGACCAGATACAATACATCCGACACGATCCCATTTCTCAAATAGGGGGTGCTACTGCACGTGCGCACGTGCGCACCCCTTTTTTATATCTCAGTAACCACTGGCCCGATTGAGCTCAAATTTGGTATGTGGCCAGATGACATACATTAGCCACTATCACATTTCTCAAATAGGGGGTGCTACTGCACGTGCGCACGTGCGCACCCCTTCTTTATATCTCAGTAACCACTGGCCCGATTGAGCTCAAATTTGGTATGTGGTCAGATGACATACATTACCCACTAGTGCATTTCTGAAACAGGGGGTGCTGGTGCACGTGCGCACGTGCGTACCCCTTCTTTATATCTCAGTAACCACTGGCCCGACTGACCTCAAATTTGGTATGTGGCCAGATGGCATACATTACCTACCATTACCTTTTTGAAACAGGGGGTGCTGCTGCACGTGCGCACGTGTACACCCCTTCCTTATATCTCCGGAAGTACAGGGCTGATTTAATTCGAATTTGGCATATGGCCAGACGTCATATATTTACCACTCTTACATTTATCGAGCGGGGGGGGGGGGGCTCGGATGCACGTGCATTACACGCGCATTTACCTACTTTAATAGTTCTAGGTCTCTGGGTAGCTGTGTTTCCGATTGTATGTTAATTAGCTCAAGACGTGGCTGATTATCTGTACGATACCTTACCGGGGCTGCATTTCATTCCGCATCATTTTTTCTTATAATTGTGAATGAGCGACTCCCGGTAATAGCAATAAATTTACATGGAAATTGGAATGAAGACCGGCTATGTTCATAAAGATATAGGAAGCATAAACGAAGCAATGATTTTATTTAAAAAAAATAGTGCTAATTTTTTTGTGCGTGACGTCTGTTTTAAATAAATTTTCACATCAACACTGGTACACCATCTTGAACAAACTCCAAAAAGCGTTAAACCAGTATAACGCCTTTTGGGGCGACTAACGGAGCGAGCGAGAGGGTGAGCCTTGCACGTGCGAAATTTCGACGAGGTACCTCCAGCTGACTTGTGCACGGCACCCTACTAACCGGTCTCCGTTAGTAGGGTGCCGTGTTTGAAATTGTGCTCAAAATTGTGCCAAATTTGAGCACAATCGGCCCAGCCGTTCTCGAGATCTGGAAGCGGCACCCTGCACGTGCGCACGTGCAAAATGGGTCCCAACTGAGTTTTGCACGGCACCCTACTAACCGGTCCCTAACCATGTGCCAAATTTGAGCGCCATCGGTCCAGCCGTTCTCGAGATCTGGAATCGACCCCTGCACGTGCGCACGTGCAGCAGCACCCCAATTCTGGCACATGGATATGTATTGCCTAGTGGGTGCCTACCTACATGCCAACTTTCAGCGCAATCGGCCAAGTAGTTACCGAGATATTGCAACAATTACAAAAGTGACACCTCTTCGTTTTGCACGTGGCACGTGCATAAGGGGTCACCCACATGCATCGGCAATAGTCCAATACTTGGTAGAAGGAATGAAGCTACCCTACAAAAATTACCGCATGTAAATCGGTCAAGTGGTTGCTGAGATATAAGCCTCGCAAAAGCGTGACCACGGCCGGCCGGCCGGCCGGCCGGCCGCTCATACTCAGAAATTTCCGTTAATCTAAGGAAAGACTACGCTCGCTTCGCTCGCTCCGTAATGATATCCGCGCATCAGACGGTTCTAACGAAATCTCGTGACATTGCGAGAAAAATCATAAAAATGTACATTGAGAACATGAGAACGAGTATTTGCGATAATATTGTTTCAATCTAGCTGAAAATGTTGTTTTATATCATCGAGCGACGAGCTTCACTTCACTTTTTTCCATTTAAACATTTTCTTTACACCATTAATGCATGTTGATCCAGCATCACCACGGTTCCATGATCGCTCTCTAACCGACCCAGGCACTCACCTATGACGCTCAGGTACACGGGGTACGATATGGGCGTCTGAGTGGAGATCTGACACTCGTACAGGCCAGCGTCGCTCGCCTGGACAAACTTGATCATCAGCGTCCAGTCATTCCGGGCCGCGTCGCGCGCCACTTGGAACCTGGCGTCGTTGGCGTACGTGTCCGTGCCCGTGGTCAGAATGTGCAGGTCACGACTGCGAATCCACGAGACCTGCGGCGGAAACGGCCGAGTTCAAAAGGTGGTGGAGGAAGCATAGATTCGTTGGCTGCTTGGTGATGAGTGTTGGGATGGGCATTTGGTAGGGTTATGACAGCTGCTCTTTCAATTGAGATGTTTATGTAGTTACGAGACAATGAAGCTCGCGGGACACACGGGAGGGGTTAAATCAATAATATTGTCTTCTTCCCATGCCATGATTTGAAAGCTTTAACTCCATACAGAAGTTAGTAAAAATCCATGAAGAAGCTAGTTAGTTAAAATTACATCGTTAAGCGCACGCGAATTTAACCAGGGAGGCGGCCCTGTGATTTATATGCTTATCGCGTTCTGGAAAGTCCTCATTTAGAAAACCACGTTCCGCTGATGGTTCAGATTACTAACCGTTTTGTTGTTGAGGCGCTTCACTTTACAGTGAAGATGAGCCGTCTTTCCCTGAAGGGCCGTGACGTTACGTGGTGTGGTGGTATCAAAGAAGGGAGGCTCGAAGACCTGGCGCATCCAACTCTGGTCTGAAAAAGATAAAATGGTCCTACGTATTAGTTCATGCATACAAGCGATGATTTTACGCGTCTCGGTACCGGTCGGTCAAGTGAAAGCATGAAATTCTATAAATGGAAAGATCATAAAAAGTAAAAACTTCTGCACGTGTTCTGATTAAGACGCTGTACATACGGATGCACATCACACACATCGTAGCGGAGTCCTTAATCACTTAGCGAGCATGTTTAACAGAGCATGCTTATCAAACATTTGTCGTCGGAGAACGATCGGATTCGACTGCCAGCCTACACCCGTAGCGATAGGGGCTAATGTGCCAATGAATCAACACTGTTTAACTTCGTTCAGTCCATCTCGACTGAATACCATTTACTGAGCCAGATCAGTGAGGGTTTGGTCTCGGTGTTCCAGAAAGAGATAAAGGTCAGCCAGCGAAAGGGCGTCAGTATCCAGTTCCACTAACCAGCCCAGGCATTCGCTATTGCTTGGTATGCACTGCACTCATTCATACCGGTCTTCACCGTGCAATTGTCTTTTCGTTGCCAACGAGACCCGTTTTATGTTCGTCCCAGGTAACTGCCAGCCATGTATAAGCGTTAGTGGGCCAAGCCCAGATATTGCACCTGCTCGCTACTCAGGGACCCAGTTGCAGTGCGGCTGCTGGAGTCAGGCCATGACTTCTTATGCAACCCGGCAGCGGTCGATTGGGCCCATCCATGGAGGGGGGGGGGGGGGGAGCAGCGGGCGGTGGGACGTTCCCGTGCGTCTGAGGGCTACTGAACCATGCATATTCTCCGACAGCGCCGGCCAGCTCCCGGCGTCAGGCCAGCTAACAATGGACGAGACGTCACGGCCGAGGGTCTCCCCTGTCCCCCCCCCCCCACCGAGACGTAGCAGCAAAAACGGGCGCCCACACCGCCGCGCCCCACTATATTGACGATAACGCACACATTGTACTGCGCACGTCGGCCTGATTCGGCGCTGGTGGCCGAGCAAACTGTCCTGTTTGCCAGCGCCGGCCCGCAGCGGATTTATTGGACTTGGAGAGGCTCCGCAGGCACGTCACGTGCGCTCCATCATTTCATCAGGTGCCTCTCACCGCCCTACGACCGCGTCATGGCCGCTGCCCGTCCGCCTGTCTCCAGACATTGTCCGCAAGTCTGCCTGTCTCCGGCCCGACGAACGGCCCTCAACCACAGAGGGCGTCGCCCATAGGCGGCGGAACGGGGAGGGCACCGGGGCACCGTGCCCCCCTTTGATTTTGACATTTCAACATTAGCCCTATGGGCGTTGCATGGAAAGAATGGGACCAAAAGTCGGCAGTGCCCCCTCTTAACTGAAGGTGTTCCGCCGCTACTGGCGTCGCCAGTCGAACCTTGGCCAGGTAATTCTGAGCGCTACGTCAGACAGTCCACCGGACTTTCACATATTAGTACGCTAGGTGGACAAACTGGACAGCTTTGCCGGATCCAGCGCGGGGACCGTAGCTGCACGGGAGGGGGGGGGGACAAGATGCTGCTTTTCTTAAGTCTCCATCTAAAGGGTCATAAACATACACGGGGATACATAAATTCATAGTCATACATTGTGATGCATTATATTTTAGACATGGCTAATATTTGTCGCACTAAATGATGTACAAAAAGTGTGTGTCACATCACCATCACGACAGAAAAATGGACTAAATCTAGAACAAGTTTACATAATTACAGGTATCTATTACTCATAGAAAATGAACTCATCCAAATCGTTCCAATCCAAAAGAGCGAGATACAATATTGAGTTTTGGTTTCTCTCCTTTGCTTGAACGTTCTGTCCGTCAGCAGTCAGCTTCTCCATCGCCATTCCCCTCTCGTTGTATCTTGTTAACCCGCTCACCGACGGGGGGGGGGGGCGGATATCCGCCCCCCCTGAGGTTTTTCGCGGATAGCGGGAAAACCGCGCGAAATTTGGTATGACTATTCTCTCATCAATTTTACACATGGTGTGCAAGTTTGAACCTCCTAACTTTTAAGGTCAGGTCACCAGGTCACTTTGAATGACCCAACCTCAAGTCACTTTTTTGCAACTTTGTCACCGTGCCAGAGCTACAGTAGATGTCGGAGGCCTTTGAAAGTCGCAGGATGTTATTAGATCATTAGCAGCTACAATTTGTATATCTCGGAATTTTGATATCGGTGACCTAAGGTCAGGTCAATTTCGCGACCTCCCCATTATAAGTCAATGGGGGAAAAATCAACTCCCTGTTTTCACCACTAAAACGGGTCGGAATGGCCCCATATACCATACATGACTTCATATACGATCAACCTTCACTACCTTGAGGTCTGTTTTGCTGTTGGGCAGCTGTAAGGTCATGTGACGTCATCAAAGGTCACCAAAGGTTTTTTTGCCAATAACTCCGTACAGGAACAAGCTACAGCCACGCGGATGGTCTCATTGTGTTTAGCTCGTCAAGACGCATCGTATGATATACATGATGACCTCGAGGTCACGTGACCTGAGGTCAACCTTTGACCTTGACCTTTCGAGGTCAACATATATATCATTCGATGCGGATTGACGAGAGGATCACGATGATGCCCCTAGTTTGCTCCTATCTTGACTAATTCGAAAGTTATTCGAGAAAAACTCTCTCCATATCTAGCGCCGCCATTTTGACTTTTTCGACCCCTGTGACGTCATCTTTGACCTGACCTGAAAATGACCTTTGTAAAAATTGTAGACCTTGTCCGTGCGTATCCGATGCCGTTTACCGCTTGTCGCTATCTTGCTTCGTTCTCGAGATCTCAGGGGGGGGGGGGGGCGGTCATCCGCCCCCCCCCCCCCCCCCGTCGGTGCGAAGTTGGCGCAGACCCCCGTCGGTGCGCGGGTTAATCAGTGCCGGCATTACGGCACTCTCATAGCTCGTCAATCATATTTAGACCCGACGCCGAGCGAGGCGTGTCGGTAATTGCTGACCGCTGCACCGACCTCTCCAGCTCCACTCTCCAAACTGCCGAAACTCTCACCGTCAAAGACGTGCACGGCCTTTTAACGTTGGCTGACACTGAGCCGAGTGTGGAATTAAACAGCAGCAGCATTTGACGGCTCCAAAGGAAATTATTTGTAGCAGGTACTGGTGGATGTCAATACTCTGTATGTGGGCATTTTTGCGTGTTTGGTTCTAATATCCATTTGCATGCGTGCGTGATATCTTTAGTTGCAGTCAAAATATCCTGCTGCCTATCACACGTATTTGGTATTCTCGATTTGAATAAATCTCCTCACGCTGAAAGGGATAGTTCAAATGCCAGCTAACCATATGGAGCACCATATTGAATTTAAATAAAGTTATGATGACAATAGTTGGACATTAATGAGCAGATGGAGAGCACCTTATCAAAAGTAGGTAAGTCCATTTTTGGATGATGATGTAAATAATAAACCAAATTATTACAAATGCATTCAAATATATTCAAAAAGACACACAAAGCTTTCGGTTCATGGAACCTTGATCACTGTGCACAGTTATCAAGGTTCCATGAACCGAAAGCTTTGTGTGTCTTTTTGAATATATTTGAATGCATTTGTAATAATTTGGTTTATTATTTACATCATCATCCAACCTGTCATGGATACTCAACATAAGTCCCTTTTTACTAAGCGTATGGAAAGGGGTATGTGAGTTGTGAACGACCGTAATACATTTTGCCACCAAAAAAGGAAAACAATGAAAACCTCCCGATTCTTTTCACATGGCGAATAAGGCCATTCTCTATTAGTACGATGGTTGGTATCCGTGAGTTAAAAGTAATAATGAATCATCCTTGCATCGCAGCGTACACTGGTGTTTTTAGTGTGACGTGAACTCTGTGGCCACGATTCATCAACAACTAATATCGGCTGAAATTGAATGTTCTAATGTTATATAGTAGCAATATGCCACGAGGAAAATGAGCGACTGTCGCTGGTCGTAGGCTACGCCTTCAGCTGAATCGCCGGCCACTACCCTGCCAGGACTGAGTCGTTGCTGTGAGGCCACTAAGACGGCAGTCATTGGCGGCGGAGAAATACACATTTTCCAGACTAGCATCCCATCTCATAAAGGCAAAGTAAAGCGCTCTCTTTTCAGGGAAATGCCTGAGCTTATGACAATAGATGAGTAGAATGGCCAGTATCTGAATGCGGTGGTGCCTCTAAACGAGAATGTCTATGGTTTTTCGCTTTGAAATACCTTCGTGTATCTAATTACTTGGAGTGCTTGGAGGCAAGCAAGGACTTACCGTCTTCAATAGGAGCAGATTCAAAAGTCCAGCGTGTTCACATGTGACCTAATTTACAGACATTCAAATATATTGTAAAAATGTTGCCTCCATATTTTGCCCAGCCAGTTCACTTAATAACTAGAACTCAGTGATTTCTAGTGGCTAGTGAAAGCGAAGTGACTTCAGATTAGTTCCTGCAATGGAAAGGGCGATTTCCATGTCACTATGATTGTATGATTGTACATAATTGTAGGTGTGTGTGTGTAATGAGCGCCCGCCACGAACTGTCCGACACCGCCCAAGATATATATCACCATCATAACACTATAAACCTGACAGTCAGACAACGCGCGGGCGCTCGATATACATCCCGCCATTATTCTTTTATTTCACTCCCTCCATGTCTGTAGCTCATAACCTACCATTTTGTCGTAAGAGAAATTAAAATGATTTCATGCATAGTACAATGCACAGCGCATTCCTCGAAGCTTTAGTATCTATGCGACTGTGCAAATTAGTTCACCTTTACGATGTTGCACTCGGGCGATGATAATATAAAATAAATCGTTTAAATTGAGCTCGAGTGAGTCGCGCCGGCCGCTGCGAAAACAAAGTTGAAATCGACTTCCGTCGGATGTTGAACATGACGTTGCAAGTAAGGTATAAGGTGCAGGGGCCCGGGAACGATTTTCAAGTTTGGGGGGCGAGCCTAAAATACCTGACATGATGCATATGAAACAGTGGCGTAACTACTAGCTAGGGGT